GATCAGCTTCAGCAAATTGAGGTGTAGAATCACATCATTTATTCCCTGCTAAATAATAGGTTTTGTGCGATTAAGATTTGCAGCGCTACACCCCACTGGTTTAGGTAATCCATCCGCCAAACACACGAGCACAACCAGGCATTGATTGATTGATTAATTGATTGGAAACAGCTTGTGTCAATTACAGAACATTTCCTAGGATTTCCTACCTGCAGCAACACAAGTGGACAGTGCTGGAAATACTGGTAAAGGCACTGCCTCCAAACGCCTGGCCCTATGATGCGCGCACACACAAACACAGACACATACACACACCTAGAATCCCCCCTCTCCTCCGTGACAGTGATGTAGAGTCCTGAGCGTGGGGAAACACCTTCCCACCGCCAGGCACACACACACACACTCCTACTCTGTGAGCATTTGGACGTACACACTCCTACTCACGGAGCGTTTGATACACACTCCTACTCACGGAGCGTTTGATGGTGAGAAGAGCCTGGACACCAAGAAACACGTACTGGTACTTCAGACTTCACCGTTTCTCCTGAACTCAGGTAGGACTTAAAGTGAGTTGCTTTGTTCAGATCTGTTTATTTGCTCGCTTATTAGTAGAATACAGTATTTGTTGTCTGAAGATATTTATGTACTTGTTTGAGGTGTGGTGATTGCAAGGGATAACTAAAATGTGTTTCTGTGTTCAAGTGTAGGCTTTGGTTCTGGTGGGGTCATCCGTTTTTTTTTTATAGCCACTGTTGTAACACGTAGATCTGGAGACATTATCTGTTTTTGTGACATTTCATTGAATTAATTACTTACTTGCTTGACAGCATGGTTGATGTTGTTTTTCTCCTCAAACAGTTTCATAGCTTTCAGTCAGCTAACAAAATCTAACTGTCCTTCCAAAGAACATTGGCCATATCAAATGCTGAGGGAAATGTTGGAAACATTCTTTGATTTATCTTTAAGCTCTCAATATAAATTACTGATAACATGATATTTTATTGAATGACAAATGTTCCTTAAAATATGAATCATTAGACAAATAAAAACCTGCTGTATCTGCAGCCATCTTATGAGCTAGGTGGAGACTGGTGCCAAAGCCTCTTCCCTCCTTGGCAGTTCTGCACTCCTTTTTGTTTTTAATTGCAATACTTTGGAAAAATTATGATTTATCACAACTTATGTCAGACTGTTTGAGCTGGGATATTTCACAACACATCAAACAGATGTTTGCTTTTTTGGGGTTAGCTCAGTCATATCTTACAAAAATATCAAAATATGCCAGGATAGGTTAAGACAACAATAACAAATAATACCTTTTCAGCCAAGGCAGAGGGAGAGAACGTCCATACAAACCAATTCAGTCCATTAGATCAGAATGCTAACAGAGAACTCTGGGAAATATCAGAACATTGACACGGTTATTTGGAACGCCATGGCCACCTTCTGGTTCTCTCCCCCAATTTGCTGCCTTTCAACGGGCATTCTCATGACACAGTAACTGTGTAGCTGGGAGGTGAATATCATTTAAAGAAAACAAACTGTTTAAACTAGATAAAGACAAGCATCCTAAACATACTTAGATTGACAGCGAGATGTATGTTTAGCAGGATGGCAGAGGCTAATCGTTTAAAAACTTTGGCCAGTTGATTTCCGGGGTAGTCTGGTGTGTGTCAGTGTGTGTTGTTATGACAGGGGCCTTAACGTAGACGCTCGTCTGATTTCCCCCCCCCCCCCCCCCCCTCTCCTATTATTCACCCTTTCAGACCTGGGCCTGGTAGAGATGAGAGCGAGATAGAGGAGGAGAGAGAACTCTCCATCACCAGATCTTCAGGATGGATAAAACGTGGACAAGTGAGTGGTTTAGAGCGGGATGTCTTAACGGTAGTAACGTCACTCTTTCCTCTATGGGTAAATCCAGTTGAATTCAATCACTTTTTGACAGCACCCGTTTTTATTTGAATGAAACATATATACATATTTGCCTATTGTAGAAGTGCTCTGAAAGTGACTTTTGGACCTGAATGCCGAAACATTCAAGAGATGGCACTTCTTTGGTACTCCTCGTTTATATATCCTTATTGTTATTCTATTGTTACTATTTCCTTTTATGTTTTTGCGTTTTTTTTTTTTACTTTTTAACTCTGCATTGTTGGGAAATGTCTCGTAAGTAAGCATTTCACTGTAAAGTCTACACCTGTTGTATTTGGCGCATGTGACAAATGACATTTGATTTGATAAAAAATTTGACATTTTTTGCATACCATACCATGAGACATCCATGTCTTAATCACTGGAAAAGATAAACAGTTGAGATTGATATCATTTAAAAGATTACGAAGAGGGTTGTCAAACCATTTGATAATTTCTTTAAAAATAAGTCATTTTTTAACCTTAAACGGCAATGATCTAAAAACACGTTAACTCTGATTTTGTTCATATTCACATACCTTGTAGCTTAGGGTGTTTTCACATATAGGCCTCTTTAAAAGAACTGATCTCAGTCCTCTTTAAAGAGGGGGGGGGGGGGGTTAAAAAGCAAAATAACTCTGTTCTCTTTGTGTTCACACTGCCCTTGCCTTTGAATGAGGACTCAACTCTTTTGCCAGTTCACTTTGCCTATTTTGTGGTCCGAGTCCTCTTTGCATTCACATTGCTATGTTTAGAAAAGAACCAAGATCTTTTTCCAATATTCACTCAATGCACTCTGGGTTCTTACAAAGTGCAGGTCAAGCCATTCCATCAGAACGTGTTATCGGACAGCTAGATGATACCTACTTATATTTTGGAAGTTAATATATTCAATTTAGATAAAAGATGAGACATAATAATTGTAATCAGAAGATACAATTAACATGTAAATATTATTGTTAACAGAATAAATAGCAGAAGAATAACTGCAGATTAAATAATGCTGTAATTGTAAATTGTACACCCAATGTTGTCTTCTCACACTATTCAAACCCCACAATCGAATAAACAGCCTTTGAAGCTCTCTTAGCCAATAGATCACATATTGAAAACAAATCATCTGAAATGAAAACTCCAAACAAATTTTGGAAATTCTGTGCATCCTTGACAATCACCAATGTATTTTTTTCACATCATCATCTTCTCTTATTTCTGGCACCAATGTGAGGGGTTATGGCAGGGGAACCGGTGTTGCAGTAGTCTAGTGTGTGGGGTTATGGCAGGGGAACCGGTGTTGCAGTAGTCTAGTGTGTGGGGTTATGGCAGGGGAACCGGTGTTGCAGTAGTCTAGTGTGTGGGGTTATGGCAGGGGAACCGGTGTTGCAGTAGTCTAGTGTGTGGGGTTATGGCAGGGGAACCGGTGTTGCAGTAGTCTAGTGTGTGGGGTTATGGCAGGGGAACCGGTGTTGCAGTAGTCTAGTGTGTGGGGTTATGGCAGGGGAACCGGTGTTGCAGTAGTCTAGTGTGTGGGGTTATGGCAGGGGAACCGGTGTTGCAGTAGTCTAGTGTGGGGTTGGCAGGGACCGGTGTTGCAGTAGTCTAGTGTGAGGGGTTATGGCAGGGGAACCGGTGTTGCAGTAGTCTAGTGTGTGGGGTTATGGCAGGGGAACCGGTGTTGCAGTAGTCTAGTGTGTGGGGTTATGGCAGGGGAACCGGTGTTGCAGTAGTCTAGTGTGTGGGGTTATGGCAGGGGAACCGGTGTTGCAGTAGTCTAGTGTGTGGGGTTATGGCAGGGGAACCGGTGTTGCAGTAGTCTAGTGTGTGGGGTGCGGGAATAATGACAAGTGAACCTGGGGAGCTTTGTGTTCACATTGCCCTAAAAAAGGGAACCGGACTCAGACCACCTCTGGAAATGGTCTCAGTTCGGTTCGCTTCGGAGGCTCTTTTGAGAGGTTCACAAAGAATGGCTGAAAATTACCACGTGTGAAAACACCCTTAGACCCTATTTTACATAATCTGATGTTTTTGTGTTGTGCCCGCCTTCGGTTGAGACACAACATGTTCTTGAATACAGTGTGGTTGTCATGTTTTGGCTGTTAATTGTACTCGGATGGGAATTAAATTGAAATGTCAACTTTCAAATGATACCACAAAGATGGTTGGAGGTCCACACATCAGAGAATGTTGACTTGAATGGGAATATCTTTTATTTATGTATTATACTGTCAATCCTCCATAGGAAACCTAGTGAAATCCTAGAAATCTAGACAATAGAATAGACATGACTATTTAATTTGACATTCAACGCAGGTGGACCGGTGGCCATCTTTGTGGTATTAATTAGAACAAATCTGATTTTAGGCGTTTCTAGATAATTGATGTTGAAGGTAAAAAAAAAAGTCATTTTCTATTAAAACTTTAAAAATAAATAAATTATCAAGTAGTTTGACAACCCTGTTTGTAAGCATTTCAATGATATCAAACTCAACCGTTTATCTTTTCCAGTGATGAAGACATGTCTCACGGTGTGGTGGGTTATGCAAAACGGGTTAACTTTGAGCAACATTTATCTCCTGAATGTTCTGGCTTTCGGGTCCAAAAAGTCACTTTCTGACCACTTCCATGGGCAAACATGTATGGAAAGTGTTGTTTAAATCATAAGGGAAGATGTAAAAAAGTTATTGAATTCAAATTGATTTACCCCTATTGGAGAGAAACTTCATATCTTGTCTCACACTTTCATGTTCTGGAAATGACCAGAGAACGACCCAGTTCTGTGTTGGTTTTTTTCTTGATGTAGCTCGTCAAATAATCCCCATTATCAAAGTTGTTGCTGATCACCATTTCCATAAAGAGATCATCATCATTGAATACACACACACACATTCAAAACCCTATTTTCCTTAACCTAACCTTAAACCCTTAACCCTAAATTTAACCCTAATTCTAATCCTAACCCTAATTGTAAACCTAACCCCTAAGCCTAAAATAGCCTTTTTCATTGTGGGGACTAGCGAAATGTCTCCACTTGTCTGAATTTTTCTTGTTTTAATATCCTTGTGAGGACTTCTGGTCCCCACAAGGATAGTCAAACCAAACACACACACAGTTCTAAGAATGTGGTGTGTGTGTGTGCGTGCATGCATGCAGCTGTGCCACCGTGTGTATCGTGGAAGAGGCCGTAGAGCAGACCCTGGCGAACCCTAACCACTGACCCCTGTGGTGGGGGGGGTGAGCTCAGGGCGATGCGGTGCCCCACCCTGCTGGCCCTGCTGGCGGGGGTCATGCTGTACCTGGTGATAGGGGCGCTGGTGTTCCGGACCCTGGAAAGCCCCAAGGAGAGCAAGGAGCACGAGAAGCTGCTCCATACCACACGCGACTTCCTCCAAAACCACTCCTGTGTCACCGCACAGAACCTCAGCGACCTCATAAAGGTACAGAACCTCAGCGACCTCATAAAGGTACAGAACCTCAGCGACCTCATAAAGGTACACACACACCATAGCACACACACATTTTGAGCAGAGAGATACACACCCACACCAGAGCAAGCAGACATAAACACACCTAATATACAACTTGGCAGGAATAACTTCAGACAGTGAAAGCATTCACAGACAGACGAGTTAAAACATATCTGAGAAGAACCTCATCTAAACAGACTAAGTCCAGTGTAGGCTCCTCCCCCCCCCAGAAGGTGTAGCCCAGGGATAGGCAACTACATTCAGCCGTGGGATGATTTTTATCAGAGCGGATGGTCGGGGGGCCGGAACATAATTATAATAATTTGTAAATTAATCACAACTAAGCCCCAAAAGGGCTTTGAAATGAAAATTACATTGAGACATGATCACGTCTCTTTTTTTATTCTTGGGAAATACTTGGAAAAAGATTTCCTCAATTAAACTCATTTTTAGCTAAATTCCTGGTGATCTTAGTCTTTTTTTGACTAAAATCCTAAAAAGAACACAGACCCAAGATGTAGACCCAGCCTAAGACAGGTAATGTGCAGGTGTAGACCCAGCCAGCCAGTCTGTTCTGTCTCTGTCCTGTCAGAGTGTGGTGAAGGCGGTGGAGGCGGGCCTGGACGTAAAACACAGCTCCACCAACTTCACTAGCAGGTGGGACCTGGCCAGCGCCTTCTTCTTCTGTGGTACCATCATCACCACCATCGGTGAGCCTTTGTTCGTTTTTCCCCCTCCTGCAAACCCTTTGGTAATAACTTAGTCAGCCAGATGTGTATTTTGAATTTGACAGAAAATGAATTATCCAATCTCAGAAAATACAATGAACCTCAATAGACATGCTGGTGAACTGAATAATTTTTAAATGATATAGATTAACATATAGGTGAATGTAAATGGTCTCCCTCTGTCCTCAGGGTTTGGTAACCTGTCTCCCAGGACCAAATGGGGTCAGCTGTTCTGCGTCTGTTACGCCCTGGTTGGGATCCCTATGTTTGGTTTCCTGCTGGCTGGTGTCGGGGACCACATGGGGACGGGGCTGAGGAAAGCTGTGTGGAAGATGGAGACACTCTTCCTGGTGAGACTACGCCGTCTTGTCTCAGGGGCTGCTTCATTTACGGGATGTCATCTCATTGTACTCGCCTGTCTCAGACGGCTGCTTAAGTCATGTCACTGTGCTGTAAACAGAAGAAGCCGTCTTGGAGTCTATAGCACTTGAAACACGTTACACACAAGTAGAACAGAAGCCGGCTTAAACATTGTCAGTCATTAGATACTTCCCAATGTAGCTTTGCAGTTCTCGTGTGTGTGTATGTGTGTGTGTGTGTGTGTGTGTGTGTATATATATATATATATATATATATATATATATATATATATATATATATATACACATACACACACACACAGTGGGGAGAACAAGTATTTGATACACTGCTGATTTTGCAGGTTTTCCTACTTACAAAGCATGTAGAGGTCTGTCATTTTTATCATAGGTACACTTCAACTGTGAGAGACGGAATCTAAAACAAAAATCCAGAAAATCACATTGTATGATTTTTAAGTAATTAATTTGCATTTTATTGCATGACATACGTATTTGATACATACTGCAGCAGGGATTTTGGCCCACTCCTCCATATAGACCTTCTCCAGATCCTTCAGGTTTCGGGGCTGTCGCTGGGCAATACGGACTTTCAGCTTCCTCCAAAGAACTGTCAATCTCCCTCGGCCTGGGGCTCCATGCAAGATCTCACCTCGTGGAGTTGCAATGATCATGAGAATGGTGAGGAATCAGCCCAGAACTACACGGGAGGATCTTGACAATGATCTCAAGGCAGCTGGGACCATAGTCACCAAGAAAACAATTGGTAACACACTACGCCGTGAAGGACTGAAATCCTGCAGCGACCGCAAGGTCCCCCTTCTCAAGAAAGCACATATACAGGCCCATCTGATGTTTGCCAATGAACATCTGAATGATTCAGAGGAGAACTGGGAGAAAGTGTTGTGGTCAGATGAGACCAAAATCGAGCTCTTTGGCATCAACTTAACTCGCCGTGTTTGGAGGACCCCAAGAACACCATCCCCACCGTCAAACATGGAGGTGGAAACATTATGCTTTGGGGGTGTTTTTCTGCTAAGGGGACAGGACAACTTCACCGCATCAAAGGGACGGAGGACGGAGCCATGTACCGTCAAATCTTGGGTGCGAACCTCCTTCCCTCAGCCAGGGCATTGAAAATGGATCGTGGATGAAGATTCCAGCATGACAATGACCCAAAACACACGGCCAAGGCAACAAAGGAGTGGCTCAAGAAGAAGCAAATTAAGGTCCTGGAGTGGCCTAGCCAGTCTCCAGACCTTAATCCATAGAAAATCTGTGGAGGGAGCTGAAGGTTCGAGTTGCCAAGCGTCAGGCTCGAAACCTTAATGACTTGGAGAAGATCTGCAAAGAGGAGTGGGACAAAATCCCTCCTGAGATGTGTGCAAACCTTGTGGCCAACTACAAGAAACGTCTGAACTCTGTGATTGCCAACAAGGGTTTTGCCAACAAGTACTAAGTCATGTTTTGCAGAGGGGTCAAATACTTATTTCCCTCATTAAAATGCAAATAAATTTATAACATCTTTGACATGCATTTTTCTGTAATTTGTTGTTGTTATTCTGTGTCTCACTGTTCAAATAAACCTACCATTAATATTATAGACTGATCATGTCTTTGTCAGTGGGCAAACGTACAAAATCAACAGGGGATCAAATACTTTTTTCCCTGACTGTATATATATATATTGTTTCTGTTTATCAAAGAAAAGGCACATTTGAGCATCTTGAGGAAGATCTTACCCACTCCATCCTTCTTCCCTCATCGCTCTTTCCCTTCTTCTTTTGTGTCCCCCCCTCTCTCTCTGTCCTCTCTCTCTCAGAAGCAGCGGGTCAGTCCCACTTATGTGCGGGTCATGTCTGCCGTTCTGTCTATCCTGATTGGCTGTCTGATCTTCCTCGCCGTGCCAACGCTGGTGTTTAAGGAAGTGGAGGACTGGTCCTTTCTGGAGGCGCTCTACTTCGTGGTCATCACCCTCACCACGGTCGGCTTCGGAGACTATGTAGCAGGTATGAAGTGAACACTCGGTACATGAAAGGACAGTACAGACTGGGGAGTACACACTCTACACATTCCTTTCAGGATACACACTATGAAAGATACACTTGATATTTCATAGGGATATGGACCTGTCTAAAGCCCCTTTGTTCGTGTGTACGTGCATGCACGTACGCCTGCGAATCCATGCGGTTCCAATGCGCCAATGTCCTTGTGCATAGGTTCTAACCGGAAGGACGGAGATCTGTTTAAACCCCTGGTGTGGCTCTGGATAGTGTTTGGCCTGGCTTACTTTGCATCCATACTCACCATGATCGGGAACTGGCTGCGGGTGCTGTCCAAGAAAACACGTGCTGAGGTGAGTGGCAGTGAGTGGGACACAAACCAAATTATTGGAAGGGCTGGTGAAAGGGAAACAGTTGATATGACAAGATCTAGACAAGGATTTACTGAAAGGGAATTTGGATTTGTACTGTCAATATTTCCTTATCCTCAGTCTCTGTCTTTCTCTGAGTTTCTTTCACATTGTCACACCTCTCTCTTTCCCTATCCCTCCCCTCTCTCTCTCTCTCTCTCTCAGATGGAGGAGTTGAGGGCCCATGCTACAGACTGGACCCAGAACATCCAGAACATGTCCATGGACTTCCGGATACCCAACCCTCTGGACCTCAATGACCCCTTCCTGCTGCAGCGGCGCCGCTGGAAACGCAGCACCCGGCGACGGGTCCGCAGGGGGGCGCTGGGGCACCGCGGCAGGCAGGGTGTCATAGGGGAGAACGGACATCTGCCCAATAGGTGGGTCACCCACACCAGCTCCATGACCCGTCTGGAGGTCATGAGGTTAGGGGGGGGTGAGGTTAGGACTGAGGGGGCGAGGTTAGGACCAGGGGTGGGGCTAGGGGTAGGGTTGAGGCCAGATTGCAGGGTCAGTGCGAGGTCAGAGGGCAGGTCGTTGGGCCGGGCGGTTGCTAGGTCGCTGTCGATGCCTGCGGCGCGCTCCATGATGGAGTTAAACTATGACCCTGATCCTATTGCGACAATGATGATGCCATGGGAGTCGGGGTCTGTGTCCGAGTCTCCAGAGTCTGACTCCAGATCAGTTGTCTCCTCCTCTGACTCTCACACCTCTGAAGTGTGTACAGCAGGGCAGGGGATACCTTTTGCCAGTTTTGACCCCAGTGGGGGTCTCTGTACTAAACAGAGGGGACGCCAAGGAGGATCCAGGCTGGTATATTTCACGGAGGATGTCCGGTTCCCTGTGCCTCTCCAGCAGCTCCCCAAGTCCCCCAACTCCACCAAGCCCATCCCCATGTCGCCCATATCTTCCGTGACCCCTTTGCCCCCCCCGCCAGGCTGCAAGATGCTAGATTTCTTTGGGGAGAACTTGGCCTACATCGACGAGTCGTCGGACGCGCTGAGTGACCGGAACCAGCCGGTTGAGGGGGGTGTCAGCCCTCTACCTCGTATACACCGCATGAGGAGGCAGCTGCCCCACCGGAGCCCCCTGAGGGAGAGGCGGGACAGCGACTTGCAGCCCCCCTCCAACCCCCCCACCCCTCCTCCTCTCTCCCATCTCAGAGACTGATGAACAAACTGACAGACACAGGTCATGAAGGGGGATACTAAGGCTGGTCTTTATTACCAGTGTTCACAGGAGAAGCAGACCTTAAAGCTCAGATGGACTTATATTATGTACTGGGGATAAATGTGGCCCAGGCCAACAATTTATTGGATCTCACTGACTGAGGACCACAATCACCATTGAGATATATTTGTATGAAAACCAATTAATGTATTCAGCAGCACATATATAGAATATTTAAACTGTCTCCGCTCAGTCAATTCAGACTCACTGGGTTGAGAAATAGCACCATCTCCTGGCTGGTAAGTGTAGTACAACAACTCTGCCTGATTCGCTGTCTGCTACTGGAGCTCAGCCCAAACCTCAGGCATGGTTTTTAAATGACTGACTAAAGTGGATGGACTTTTTTGAATAACCATTTTAGATCTGGTTTCAGAGATTCATATCCCTGTATATCCCAGTGTCCTTCAGCATGTGGGATATACAGTACTCTGGTTGTATAACTTTTTTGTTTTGACGGCATTCTGTTGCCCTGAATGTGTATGTGCCAAAGTGGTATTTAAAATCAAATTGTGTTTTTCTAAATAAAGGAAAGTCCTATACAAACCTACAATACTGTATGTTTGATAGAGTGAGGCCACTCACCCCCCAGACACACACACTCAGACACCCAGAGGAGTGTTACTGTGGGATAAGTGCAGGTTGAATATTGTAAGGGGTGGTTAAGTGGAAAGGACTAACAGATGCTGGGCTGGTTTACAGCCAGAGGGGGGGGACCTCACCACACCTCCGTCCTGCAGCCTGCCAGCTAGCGGCACCCCTAATGCCCCCCCCCCCCTCCTCCTTCCCCCTACAGAGAGGCCACACGTCCCCGCCCTCACATCCTCTCCCCCTCCTTACAGAGGCCACACGTCCTTTTCCCAGAGAGGCTGGACAGGGACAGGCGGGGCCCCAGAAAGGCTCACAGGGACTTGGGGAGGAGGAGAGGGTTAATGGGGGTACAGTCTGGTTACTGTGTCAGACTCAATGTCCAACTCTCTAAGCGCTATCTATTTTCATCACCTTTCTGTGTTTAGCGCATAAAGCAGACCGACTTGGCGGCCGAACAGACCCACTCTGTTTCTTTCTAGGTTCAGTGTCTACCGCAGGGGTACACAGAGCATAAAGATTAACATACAGAACTCTACAGTCTCTCTCTCGCGCTCAAACCACTGAAATACCAAAAGGCTTAAATATAATTTGAGCCCCAGGTTGGATGTATTTTGAGTTTTTAAGCATCTTATCAAAAGTGGTTAACGTGGCCAAACCTCGATTTGTGTGACTGGATCAATGTTACCAATATGACCTAACATTTTGTACAAACAGCAATCAAGTAAGAAGTAAATTACAAATAAATAAAGTGTGTTTACAGCTGTGCAAAGCCCTATCATGCCAGACCTAATAGTTACACATTTGCCTAAGGCTACAAAATGGCTACCCCCGTCAAAAGTGGATGTGTTCCAAATTGGGCCTATCAGCCCATGTCTCCCCTTTTGAAAACCTCTCTTTCTGTTTCATTCCTCCTCTGCTCTCCTCCCACCACAAACCCTGAACCCCAAACGGGTTTAAATCTGGCATTCCGCGAGTGGTCGCTGTCTGGAAATCTTTCACATCCTGTTTACGCCAGCAGATTTCAGCCCTGGACCGCAGAGAGCTGGCTGGAGGCCCCTACTGCCTGGACACAACCTCTCCCTCTATTCTTCTTTCTTTCGCTTTCCCTCTCTCCTCTATTTCTCGCTCTCAGCCTCTTTCCCTTCTACCTTCTATCCTCTCCCAGCCTCTTTATTTCTCCCTCTCTTTCAGCCCAAAGGAAAGCTAGCTCACATCAAAATCATCTCCCTTTTTTTTAGTAAAAACACACAGATCTCTGCCTAAAGCTACTTGGTAGAGTTCACATAGTCTTATACAACAAGCACACATTGTATTTCCAATCAAAACACTTTAATATCAGATTTTGAAAATGTGAATAAAGTTTTAATAAAGCTTTCAATGAATAAGATATTTACAGTATTTTTGACCTTATGAAAGTGGGGAAAAGACCCACAGCTGAAGACGATTTCTCAGTTTCATGCTTGTGAAATTTAAAAAATACAACCTGTGCCAGACTGAATGTGTAAAATGTGTCATAGTGAAATGCAGGGTTGAATATATAGAGAGAGGGTCAGTCTGTCCTTTTTGCTTAAGGACCACAAGTTTTGTTGTTGTTTTGGTCAAACCCCTCCTTCCTTTTGTCCAGCTCTTTTCTTCCACCTTCCCCCTCTCCTTCCGCTGGGCTCCTGTGTCAGCGGCACTTGCAGGACTTGACCACCATGTTTGAGAGCTGCTCTACCTTGGGCGTTCGGCCCATGAAGTAAACAATGGTCAGAGGCTCCAGGTCCTGAGGTACGCAGCATGGAGAGGCAGACGCCTCAGGGTTCAGCTTGTTATACAGCGGCAGGATCTGTGTGTTTGTGTGAGAGAGAGGGCGAGAGAAAGTACCACATGAAATACCACAACAACAATGAAAACATTACTTAAAGAGAGAGTTCACCCAAATTACAAAATGATACATTGGTTTCCTTACCCTGTAAGCAGTCAGTGGACCAGATATGAAAGCAATCCATGCTTTGGTTTAGTTTCCCTGGCACTGTTTACATTTGTGGCTCAAATCCCATTCAAGTCATGGGACCGATATTGGAATTTTTCGCACGTCATGTCCAAACCATCCGAAAGTATCTAAAATTGACTGTGAAGCTCAACAAAGTCACTTATAGATGATTTGAACGTGATGCGCGAAAAATGATAATATCGGTTGTGTGACTTGAATGGGATTTGTGCCACAAATGCTAAAACAGCATGTGGAAACAGTACCAGGGAAACTAAACCAAAGCATGGAATACTGTCATAACTTGTCCATATTTGTATTTATTAAGGATCCCCATTAGTTGCTGCCAAGGCAGCAGCTACTCTTCCTGGGGTCCAAACACAGTAACACCCTTATATTACACATAAAACAAAAGAAAACAGTACATCACATAATACTGTCACACCACCACATATCCACCGACTGCTTACAGGGTAAGGAAACTAATGTCATTTTGGTCGAACTTTCCCTTTAAGTACTTACATCTAACCCTACTACTGTGTTGAACAATATGGTTCTGCGGGATCACTGTGACGTGTAACCAACAGACTGTGCAGGGTACTGAGATGACAAGACATTTCAGCTACTCGTAGAGCCATGCTGTAAAGGTGAGTGTGTGGCAATTAAGCCATAAGACCTGACTGTGACTGAGGTGATAGCACATTTATGCTACTGTAGTGGTTGAGGGTTAACTAACCATGTTGTAGTGGTTGTCAGCGCTCCAGAGGTATGGGCAGCTGCCAGAGCAGAAATTGGCCTTGTAGCCCTTCGGCTCGTGGATCCACTTCCAGTTCAGGTCCCGGCGGAAGTCGATGTAGAGCGATCGCAGACAGCAGCCCGCGTCTGAGTTCCTACAACAGGTAGGAGAGATGGACAGAAAACACTCTCTCATTCTGATCCACACAGGCACAGGATATATCCTACTTAATCAGTTTCAGGACTATAAGCCTAGCAGACTCCCTATAAGCCTCCAATAGATTAATAACAACAATACAACGATCATCAATAATGTGAACAAATGTGTGTAGTTCTGTATATCAAAGACCAAAATAAAGAGAATCCTCTGATAAGTGTCTTCTATGGTTGTAGATAACAATGTAGGTTTTTGGTTTCTGGATCAGAGGTGCTTCCCCTACCTGGAGCAGGTGGTGGTGTCTGCGGCGGCCCTCCTCTTGCGGATCTTCTTGCCCGGGTTGTCTACCCTGTCGCTTGGCAGCAGGGTGAGGATGAGATGGGGGGTCTTGGTACTAAACTCTACCTGGCCCTTAGCCAGCCCTGACCCCGGCTTCCGCACCTGCTGCTGAAGCAGCTCATCATCCAGACCTGGGGAAGAGGAGGAGGAGGGGGAGGAGGAGGAGGAGAGGGGGAGTATGATATGGAGGAAGAAGAGTAGGGACAGGGGAGGGAGAAGAAGAAGTGGGGGAGAGTGGGGAAGGAGAGAAAGGGTTGGTGTGTTTTCGCTGTGAGTGGGAAAATTGAGTGATCTCATTGAGACACATAATGGGAACATTTCTCAACCAGAATGCTGTGTGTAAGTGAGTTGAGAAGCTCAATCATTTAAAAAATAAATAAAAAGAGCCATATGTTATGTGTCTATGTCTATGTTACAACAAGCAGACCTGCGAAGCGCGCCTCCAACTCCTCGCTCTTATTGAACACGATGCTGTTGGTGGAGGGAACAAAGGTGCAGCAGGGACAGTGAACACCCAGCTTCAAACCCAGGTTCCTCTCTGAAAGAGAGATATGGAGGATGGAGTAGGGGTAGAGAGATGGTGAGAGGTGGACAAAGAGAGAGGAGAAAACAAATATTTTTTATTTTTTTATTTAACCTTTATTTAACTAGGCAAGTCAGTTTAAGAACAAATTCTTATTTACAATGACGGCCTACACCGGCCAAACCAGGACGACGCTGGGCCAATTGTGCGCCGCCCTATGGGACTCCCAATCATGGCCGGTTGTGATACAGCCTGGAATCGAACCAGGGGGTCTGTAGTGATGCCTCAAGCACTGAGATGCAGTGCCTTAGACTGCTGCGCCCCAATATATACCTCTAAATTGTCTGCAATGACCACTGTAACATAACGTATGACCCCAAAATCACCTAAAATGTTGTTAAGTAGATAAAGGGGTATAGAGCCATGTGATGTGCTTGTCAACTTACCCCTATGAGCCAGCCAATCCCTCACAGTGTCAGTGACATCCACAGAGAGCCACGCCCCCTTGGTCCGTGGGCGAACAGTTCTGGAATCGATGTATCTCTGCGAAGGGCCTGTTGACTTTTCTGGCTTTATCACCTGACAGAGACATAGAGGGAGAACCAAAGAGAACCAAAATATAGCTTTTAACCCTCTGTAGATATGCTCTTGAACATCAGTTCACAGCTGGTACAAGGGAGAGTTTACAATGAAAGTGACTCCAAAATGACACTACATTATTTACCATTCATTTTTATTGGGCACAAAATAATCTGAAACACAACCAAACTGAACTGCAAATGCGTCCAAACTTGATGTAGTCATTGCATGCTAGGAATATGGGACCAAATACTAAACTTTTGACTACTTTATTTATAAGAATTTGTGGAGGTGTCAATGAGTTCAACCCCTACCTTTTTGAGAGAAACAAATGATTATGTGTTAAACAAAATCTCTTTCACTGAGCAACTATTATTAGTATAAAATAATATAATTTCCCCTTTTTTTGCATACAATTTAGCTCAGTATTTTCATTATTTATTTTATACAATCATTATTGCTCATTTTTATGAAGCTTGTCAATAATTTCAGACCCCACTGTATCTACTTGGTTGCAGTTCTGTGATATTGTGATACCTGGAGTGGGTATATGGTATTGTGATGGGTGTACCTGGTGCAGGTAAGCGATAGTGTAATGTTATCAGTACCTGATAGATCTCTACTCTCTGCTCTGAGGTGCGGGCCTGGGGGTTGGGTGCTCTGTAGATTCTGAACTCAGCTTTAACCAGGGTGCTGGAGTTCCTGTCCACACCACTCACATCGAACCCCACCACTCTGTAATATGGGCTGGGGACTGGAGGGTTCACTGCATCTATGGGAGTGGTAAGAGATATACGACTTTTTAGAAAGTCTAATAACTGGATATCAATTAATTCATAAATATGCAATCTACAGTATATGTAAAATATTGTATAGCCTATCAGAGCGTCTCACACACATATCCTAAGTCATAGAGGTATCTGACAAATGGCTGACAACTTGGCAAGGTGGTTGGCAGGGTTGAATTGGCTACTTTCTACATGTAATCCGGTACAGTTACTACCTGTCCAAAATTGTAATCAGTAATGTAACTTTTGGATAACCCAAACTCAGTAACACAATCGGATTACTTTAAGTTACTTTTGGATTACTTTCCCCTTAAGAGGCATTAGAAGAAGACAAAAAGGATCCATCAAAAGCATTTAGTGTATCATCATAGTGGTCCCTGACTTGTGGTCAGACTCGCTGAATTGAACGTCATTGAGAAAACAAATAGGTGTCATGATGTATTTTTTTCCGCGAACATCCTTTCTGAATTTAAAAGTAATCCAACAAGTAATCATGTAGTTTTTCAAAAGTATCTGTAAAAAAACAAAACAAAAAAACAATTTGTAATCAGATTAGATGTACGTGATACTCTCCAACGCTGGTGGTTGGAGACCATTACGCATGCGTTATAGTACTGTACAACGTTTTTTTCAATAAATCACTGACATAAAAAGGGACCACGATTGATTTGCGACATATATTGAAATTATAATTGTGGAAGGCTCCACTCACTGATGTCTGTGCGCTGCGGAAGCATGTCAATGCGCTGAACCTCTTTTGCATAATAATCCTCCTCGCTGCTCTCCCGGTCGCACGCGGACTCGGCCTGGCGCGCACGCTCCTTCAGCAGCTCCCGAGTGCTGTTGTAAAGCAGCATCACCTCGGCGGGCACAGCCTCTGGCTGTGGGCTCGGTGCTGGGGGCTCCGGTGGGCTACGGTAGCGGAGCTTGCTGAGGATCTGACCGCGAACGGCCTCGATGCGCTTGGACTTCTGATCATCCAGGCTAAATGACTGACAGGTGGAGAGCCCCTCCGCGGACACCGCCAGCCGGAGCAGCAGCAGGGCGAGGTGGGTGAGCCACATAGTCCGGTGGTCAGATTGGTGAACGGGCTCACTCGGCTCCATATGAAATCTTCAGGAATCTTTCAGTCTGTGTCTGTCCGGTGCAGTCCAAATGCGCACTGAGGACCTGTGTGGAATCCAATGCGCACTGGCGAATGTTTTAGCAACTCCCAGAATGTAAACTTTAACAGAGAATGTATGTTTTAAAAACTTCTAACACGTTAAAAAAATAACCCAAATAATAGTGAAAAAGAAATACAACTACAATTTAAGAGTGCTAAATTACAAAAATGCAATGTAAATGTAAGAGCTCAGCCCATGTCTTACATTGCAAAGTTCTATCAAATAATTTGAAAAGTGTATATTTGTTCATGTTCTTCTCTGAGAGCCATCTCTGAGCAAATGAAATACAATCACTGTCCATAAGTGTTTAAAAAAAAAAGTATTCTCAGAACTGAATGCTATGGAGAGATTCCTGCTAGAAGGGTGACTTCTTCACTGGTTAAATAAATTATAGTGATGGGCTGTAAACCAAGCAGCATGGTTGGCTACTCAAATTCTTTCACACTACATAAAAGTTAGAATATGATTAAATCCTCTATGAAAGAGATATTTGTACTCCCGAAAAATAAAACTCCTCCAGAAAAGTTGAAATATATTAAAGAACTTAGGGTAAGCTTTGGTAGAGTCCCATCCTTAGAAAATTAAGAAAAATCAAATCCTCTTCTTGATTCTACTGATGTGGATATCAGAGGGGGAAAACTTTCCACTACAGCAAAAAGGTCTGATGCCACTCTTTCATTTCTTGGCAAGAAAAAAAGAATCCAGAGCTGTGGGACAGTAACTTCAGTGTGCAATGCAAGGTGTGTGTGTGAGAGAGAGAGAGAGAGAGACAGACAGACAGGCAGACAGAACGAGAGACAGCGAGACAGACAGAGACAGAGAGGGTGATGGGTATGTGTCATTATGTAGGTATCTCCCTCTCATCAATTCAGAGTACACACACACACACACACACACACACACACACACACACACACACACACACACACACACACACACACACACACACACACACACACACACACACACACACACACACACACACACACACACACACACACACACACACACACACACACACACACACACACACACACACACACACACACACACACACACACACACACACACACACAGGCAGATATATTTTTGGAGACTCTCCACACCACAGAAATGTTTGCACAGGCCTCCCTTCTATCCTCAGGTAAGTATACTGTTGAAACAAAACCACCATTTCATAAGTAGCTATGCCTAAAATCTGTCCATGATTTGTCAAAGTCTTGAAAAGCAAAAAAGTGATAGATGGAGTTTGCTAATTCCTTGGCTTGTCATATTTGACTGATCATGATCTCATTCGTCTTCCCTCTAGTTATTTCCATAACTGTGACATGTCTCCTAACTGTGTGTCCTGCATAAATCTAGGCCATTTGTCCCAGATCTAGTATTTATTTAAATCTTTTAATTTTCAGTTATAATAAATGAGTAGCCCAGTTATTCAGTCCCACCCTGTCTCTCTTTCTCTCTCTCTCTCCATCTGTCCCTCTCTCTTCCTCTTCTTCCCAGTCTCATTGTTAATTACAGTTCAGAAGCCGGGGACTGTTAATCTGTCAGAGGAGGCTTTTATTGCAGCTCTCTCCCCATCCCATTATACTGTTATTATAGTTTCGGCTCCAAAGCTGTAATTGCAGTAAGTAGAAGGGATAGGTACTACAGAGAGAAGGAGAGAGACACAAGCAGCCCAAAGGCTTGTGGCAGGCAGGCTTTTTTTCTCTCCTCGCAAGGTTTCTAAAAATGATAACACTGCATGAGATGTTTGGGAACAAACACTTTCTTGTTTCAACATGCTGTGCCCCAGAGCCTCAGACGGTGCACCTCCATGGCTGCTCAGAGCAAACTTTGCCTACGTGGATCTAGGGATGTTTGGCAAGAGCCAGTGTTACTGTCTAACCAGAGGGTGAATGGATCAAAGGGGCCTAGTGGTTAGTTGTGGTATTGCAATGTGTGGGTATAAAAATACTTCCTCAAAAACAACTTATCCCTGGCTGGAGCTTTTTCTCTTTTCCTCAGTCCAAATATAGTCACGGCTCGCCACGTCATCTATCTCTTAGCAGTTCTCCTGCCTGCGACAACAAACTCTAGGACACACACACACACACACCTCATACTCATGATCACAAGCACACACACACACACACACACACACACACACACATACAGCCAACGCTGCTGTCCCATGTTATAGAGACATTGAACCACTGATCACTCCCCTTTCACACTGTGTATTTAAATACTGTATCCCAACATAGCTCATTCTAATATTTATACTACTGTACATTACATTGTAGTTACATTTATATACTGGATTCTTGACATAGCTCACTCTAATATACACTACATGACCAAAACTATGTGGACACCTGCTCGTCGAACATCTCATTCCAAAATGATGGACATTAATATGGAGTTGGTCCCCCCTTTGCTGCTATAACAGCTTCCAATCTTCTGGGAAGGCTTTCCACTAGATGTTGGAACAATGCTGCAGGGACTTGCTTCCATTCAGCCACAAGAGCATTAGTGAGGTCGGGCGCTGATGTTGGGCGATTAGGCCTGGCTCGCAGTCGTCGTTCCAATTAATCCCAAAGGTGTTCGATGGGGTTGAATTCAGGGCTCTGTGCAGGCCAGTCAAGTTCTTCCACACCGATCTCGACAAACTATTTCTGTATGGACCTCGCTTTGTGCATGGGGGCATTGTCATGCTGAAACAGGAAAGGGCCTTCCCCAAACTGTTGCCACAAAGTTGGAAGCACAGAATTGTCTAGAATGTAATTGTATGAAAAACAGCCCCAGACCATTATCCCTCCTCCACCAAACTTTACAGTTGGCACTATGCATTCGGGCAGGTAGCATTCTCCTGGCATCTGCCAAACCCAGATTTGTCAGTTGGACTGCCAGATGGTGAAGCGTGATTCATCACTCCAGAGAACAAGTTTCCACTGCTCCAGAATCCAACGGCGGCAAGCTTTACACTACTCCAGCCGACACTTGGCATTGCGCATGGTGATCTTAGGCTTGGGTGCGGCTGCTCGGCCATGGAAACCCATTTTATAAAGCTCCCGACAAACAGTTATTGTGCTGGCGTTGCTTCCAGAGGCAGTTTGGAACTCGGTAATGAGTGTTGCAACAGAGGACATACTATCTTTACACGCTCTGTGCTTCAGCACTCGCCGGTCCCGTTCTGTGAGCTTGTTTATCCTACCACTTTGCGGCTGAGCCGTTGTTGCTCCTAGACGTTTCTACTTCACAATAACAGGACTTACAGTTGACCGGGGCAGCTCTAGCAAGGTAGAAATTTGATAAACTGACATTTTGGAATGGTGGCATCCTATGACGGTGCCACATTGAAAGATTGCATGGCTGTGTGCTCGATTTTATACACCTGTCAGCAACGGGTGTGGCTGCAATAACCAAATCCACTAATTTGAAGGAGTTTCCACATACTTTTATATACACTACCAGTCAAAGGTTTTAGAACATCTACTCATTCAAGGGTTTTTCTTTATTTTTACTATTTTCTACATTGTAGAATAATAGTGAAGACATCAAAACTATGAAATAACCCATTGGCCTCATGGTGAAATCCCTGAGACGTTTCCTTCCTCTCCGGCAACTGAGTTAGGAAGGACGCCTGTATCTTTGTAGTGACTGGGTGTATTGATACACCACCCAAAGCCTAATTAATAACTTCACCATGCTCAAAGGGATAGTCTGCTTTTTAAAATGTTTACCCATCTACCAATAGGTGCCCTTCTTTGCGAGGCATTGGAAAACCTCTCTGGTCTTTGTGGTTGAATCTGTGTTTGAAATTCACTGAGGGACCTTACAGATAATTGTATGTGCGGGGTACAGAGATGAGGTAGTGATTAATCAAAAATCATGTTAAGCACTATTATTGAACACAGAGTGAGTCCACAGAGTTACTCCTGAACTTACACTACCAGTCAAACATTTGGACACACCTACTCCTTCAAGGGTTTTTCTTTATTTTTACAATGCAGAATAATAGTGAATACATCAAAACTATGAAATAACACATATGGAATCATGTAGTAACCAAAAAAGTGTTAAACAAATCAAAATATATTTTAGATTTGAGATTCTTCAAATAGCCACCCTTTGCCTTGATGACAGCTTTGCACACTGTTGGAATTCTCTCAAAACAGCTTCATGAGGTAGTCACCTGGAATGCATTTCAATTAACAGGTGTGCCTTCTTAAAAGTTAATTTGTGGAATTTCTTTCCTTCATAATGTGTTTGAGCCAATCAGTTGTGTTGTGACAAGGTAGGGGGGGGGGGGGGGGGGGGGGGGGGGTATACAGAAGATAGCCCTATTTGGTAAAAGACCAAGTCCATATTATGACAAGAACTGCTCAAATAAGCAAAGAGAAACGACAGTCAATCATTACTTTAAGACATGAAGGTCAGTCAAGACAGAACATTTCAAGAACTTGGAAAGTTTCTTCAAGCGCAGTCGCAAAACCATCAAGCGCTATGATGAAACTGGCTCTCTCATGAGGACCGCCACAGGAATGGAAGACCCAGAGTTACCTCTGCTGCAGAGGATAAGTTCATTAGAGTTACCAGCCTCAGACATTGCAGGCCAAATAAATGCTTCACAGAGTTCAAGTAACAGACACATCTCAACATCAACTGTTCAGAGGAGACTGTGTGAATCAGGCCTTCATGGTCGATTTGCTGCAAAGAACCACTACTAAAGGACACCAATAATAAGAAGAGACTTGCTTGGGCCAAGAAACACGAGCAATGGACATTAGACCGGTGGACATTTGTCCTTGGGTCTGAGTCCAAATCGGAGATTTTTGGTTCAAACCGCTGTGTCTTTGTGAGACGCGGTGTGGGTAAACGGCTGATCTCCGCATGTGTATTTCCCACCGTAAAGCATGGAGGAGGTGGTGTTATGGTGCTTTGCTTGTGACACTGTCTGTGATTGATTTAGAATTCAAGGCACACTTAACCAGCATGGCTACCACAGCATTCTGCAGCGATACACCTTCCCATCTGGTTTGGGCTTAGTGGGACTATCATTTGTTTTTCAACAGGACAATGACCCAACACACTTCCAGGCTGTGTAAGGGCTATTTGACCAAGAAGGAGAGTGATGGAGTGCTGCATCAAATGACCTGGCCTCCACAATCCCCCGACCTCAACCAAATTGAGATGGTTTGGAGTGAGTCGGACCGCAGAGTGAAGGAAAAGCAGACAACAAGTGCTCAGCATATGTGGGAACTCCTTCAAGACTGTTGGGAAAGCATTCCAGGTGAAGCTGGTTGAGAGAATGCCAAGAGTGTGCAAAGCTGTCATCAAGGCAAAGGGTGGCTATTTGAAGAATATCAAATATATTTTTATTTGTTTACTACATGATTCCATGTGTTATTTCATAGTTTTGATGTCTTCACTATTATTCTACAATGTAGAAAATAGTAAAAATAAAGAAAAACCCTTGAATGAGTAGGTATTCTGAAACCTTTGACCGGTAGTGTATATAGTGTATCTACTGCTGTACATATCATTCTTAGTTTAGCTTGTGTAATTTCCCCCGGTGTACATATGTATCGATTGCATTTTGATACTGCTACAGTGCTATTTGGGTTGTTAATTGGATTCGTCCCGATGACGTTCTTGATTTCTTGCCTTTCATTTTTAGTAATTTTCTTTACATTTTAGCTGTTTGACATTTGACTGCATTGTTAGGTGCTAGTAACATAAGCATTTCGCTGCACCACTATAACACCTGCTAAACCATGTACGCGACCAATATTTCACTGACTATATATAGTACCAGTATGTATTCCTCTGTGTAACCTAATTACAAGGGAAAGCATTTTAGGGTACCAAGGAAAACAAGGAATTTTATTGCAAAAAATGCACCCAAACATTTTTACAAAAATAAATAAAACAAAATCAGCTCACAGATATTGGACAATGTAGAAGCATTCAGATCCGTTCTGTGGTTTTCTTGGGGCAGCAGTGCGTTCACATTTCATTGCCCTAGGTACTGTACTATATAACCAATTCAACAGTGTGGTATTTCTTCCTATACAGTCTCAAACAACAGTCCAGTTTTCCCTCACTTCTAATGGCAGCAGTCCCATACAATGAACGGTTGGGGTGAGAGGGTGGAGGGTGTTGGATGGTGGGGTTTAGCGTATAACCAGGTGGGGTATGATTCATATCTATGAGCCCATGGATGTCAGGGGTAACCAACCCCCCTCCTCTATGCCTCGTCCTCGTTCAGCAGCATGTTGGGGACCCCCCGGGAGATGGGGAACTCACGGCCAGACTCGGGGCACTGCAGACACCCCTCCAGCACCTCCACCTGGATAGAGGAGAGACAGATAAACGTCACATCACCTGTAGTTCCTCTGCGTGTGTGTGTGACAATAGGGTTAAACCTACAATAACATTTTATCAAGCAGAATGAAAGTGCCAAGAGGGTAATAGGGTTAAACCTACAATAACATTTTATCAAGCAGAATGAAAGTGCCAAGAGGGTAATAGGGTTAAACCTACAATAACATTTTATCAAGAAGAATGAAAGTGCCAAGAGGGAACATGACTGGGACTCTACCTAACCACTAGATGTCCTCATATTCCCATAATAATAAATGCATTATGCGTCCTTCTATTCACCAAAATAGTAGTCGATAGAACTAAGTAATGAACAACAACAATATCAGGTTATTTATGGTGAACCTCACCTCCAGCAGAACCCTGTGTACTTTACGCAGGAAGTCTTCATTCTTCTCATAGTCCGTGACCAGTTCTGCAGGTAAGTCCTGGAGATGACCCAGCTGGAGAAAAGACCACAGTTAGTAATTAGGATATACAGGAAGACATTGATATTGCCATACAACCACAATCACTAAAACAATTATTTAGGTAAAGCCTATCTGTCTCAGACCCAAGTATAGTTAGTGTACATGTCATCTACGCTGTAGGCCTAGCTAACTATTCTACCTCTGTTGGATACAGTAGCTTGAAATGACTTTGTACAGGTGTGTTAGACAGACAGGCTCACCCCATCAGCCGCCTGAACCAGTGCGCTCCACTCCAATTTGGGGATCATTCGACTCACGAAATTGGGATTAAACTCCACCTCACTCACTCTCACCTCCGTAGCCTGGGATTCACACAAACGGGATGAAAAAAAAGCACATATTAGCTAGCTAAATACGTTACGCATATAACACATTGCCAGCTGCCGCAACTCTGCAAGCTAGTTTTGAGCAGACTTCCTTACCTTGATGAGGAGAGGGTATCCTTTGGTTACCCCTTTCACGTGAGATGTCAACATGTTGTGCGTCAGTAGTTTCATCTTTACAGTCTATGAATGTCGCTTATCGCTTAATCAAAGAAAGTGAGAGAGCCAGTAACTTTGTCAATATATACTGTATATAGCTACAATAACTATGATTCTCTACCGTGCAAACTGAAAACAACGCGTTTACATGTGGACCGGAAATGTCGACGTTGCAACAGTGAACAGTTTCCCCAAACACAGCTCATCCTAAAACCGGTTCCTAGCAGTACAAACTCTTTCAGTAAAGCTTAGAAAAGAATCCTTTATTCATTTTGTCAACGTTTTTTTTTAAAAAGCACAAAAACCATGTTTTTTTTTTATTCATATTTTATTTTTTGTATTAACTTGTGTACTCATCGTCTTGATATTATACAGGTAATTCTTACAGATATGATATAGTAAATAGTAATTACACAGAGGTTAGCCGACAGATCCGACCCGCTTGTTTACAGCTGCACTAGGGTCGGACAGCATTCCACTTTAAATTAAGCATGCCTTTGTATATTAAGACACCGTGGAGCCGGCACAAGATATGGCTCGGAAAACGTACCTCAATGCAGGGATGAGAAATGCGTTGTACTCCGAATTGTCCCATTATCCCAACTGTTACACCAAGAAGATTGCTAGCTAGCAGTCGTTGAATCTTCTTGGTGTAACAGTTGGGATAATGGGACAATTCGGAGTACCAAAACATTTCTCATCCCTGGATTGAGGTACGTTTTCCGAGCCATATCTTGCGCCGGCTCCACCGTGTCTTAATATACAAAGGTATGCTGTCAGACCCTAGTGCAGCTGTAAGCAAGCGGGTTGGATCTGCCGGCTAACACAGAGGTGTGACCAATACAACCAAAGGGTCACCCTCACAAGAAACCACTAACCCACAAACACACACTTACAAACTCTATCTTACGCACACACACACATACCTAAACATACATCCCTTAAACGTATTGAACAAATGATAAAAATGTAAAATGTTTTACCACAAACCCCTCTTTTTCTTTCTGTCTTAACCCTCCAGACATTCCACCAACACTGTTATTTTGAAAATGAATATGATAATTAATACTAGTGTTTAACATAATTAGAAAAATACAAATAAAAACGCAGGAAGGCAACTAACGAGACGAGTCAAGAGAGTTCTGTTGAGAGGAAGGAACCAGACTGGTGATAAGGTCCAAGGCCCTGAGGGGGACATCTTGCTCTGACAAAAACAAAACAGTAAGTACAAACCGGATGACCAAACGCTGGCAAGCATTAAAAGCAAGGAAAGCCATTTGACGTAGAGAGGAAAGGACGTTTCTCTAGTTCGTTCAGTTCATCATCCATATTCTCCCATGACTGCATTTAGTTAATACAACCAGGCCCAGGTCATTGTGTCCACTGGTCAAATATGAAAGATGAGTATTAAGTTTCAGGAAGGCAATAAAAGTAGACATTGGTTTCAAACCAAAAGGAGGAGAGGCCAGGGAACTCAGCATTGAACAAGCTTATGGCACAAACACCGGGGTGGGGATGTGTGCAGGCTAGGATGGAACAATCACAGTGTGGCATTTTGAGGTTGAGGAACTATGACATTCCTAACCTTTGTAAGGATCTCAGCAAAGGCCACTATAATAGTTTCTCCAGTCTCCTCCATCCATATCTCAAAGGAATACAGGAGAGAGAGGATGTTACCATCCAATCCCCATGGATACTGATTTAGGCTCACTAGAATGAGTTCCCGGACTCAGAGTAAGCCTACTCCTAAAATGCATGCTCAATTAAGGATCGCCATTCAAAGTGCTTTTCAGTCCAGGAATAGGTTTAATCTTAATAGCCTGATCAACAGAAGACTGGGAGAGCTACTGATGAACAAGTGTAATCCCACCTACCACTACTAGATCCTTTATACTAGCCTAGAGCCCTGTCTGCCCTTTGTCAGCGTTGACGGCTAAACATGAAGTCAACCCAGAATGACAGTGATATGTTTACATACCAATAAAAAGGTAGAGAGTATCTGCATCATGTACATACTGCTGCAAGGAGAGTGAACTGAACTCTATTTGATTGTGTCGAAGAAAGAAAACAAAAAATGTATCTCAATCCATCTGGAGCCACATAAAATACTGGGTGTCAATCACTCCGCAGTAGTTCGTTTTTTTTGCATTAAAACTCACTCTTTCACACATTCACTCCCTTCATCGGTTCACCCACATAACGATTTCACCCCCACATCATTAACCTTTAACCCACCGACCACCAGAATCATCACTCTTGGCCTTCTTCGGAGCGCCATTTTAAGAAGTCCTCCTTCCGTGCATCTGGCTTGATCTGGTTCCGCATGCCCCCAAGTAGGTTGGACGTTGCCTCGGATGCCACTATTAGGGGACGGACGACGGTTGGTGGGATCTGCCGCAGGACTCCGCCCACAGCACCAGGCAGACCTTTCTGCTCATGCCCGCGAGTCGCCACGTCACATAGCGTCTGAGCTGTGTCCATCATGCCCTGGGAAACAGACAGACAACAGAGGGGTGTGTGTGAATGAGTGTTAGTGAGAGAGCTAGGCCTTTTCTTGTTATTATTCTAAAATGGTTGATTTAAATAAATTGATTCAGTAGAACACGTACCTCTCTGACGGTGTCATAGGCCTTAGCCACGCCCTCTCGGATGTCGGCAGGCTGGTGGGCGCGGTGGGGCCGGGTGGAGGGCGGTCGGCCCTCTGTGATGTAACGGTTCCGGGGGGGCGTTGGGGACAGGATGTCGTACACCGTCTCTGCTGTAGCCTAGAAGAGAAAGAGCAGGATTATTACAACTCTGTAAGAGAGTGAGGCACATCATAGCAATGGAGGAATCTTTATTACTGGTTCCAGTGGCTTTTATCTGTATGGTTGCTACTAGTCTTTCAGTTCTTTCCTACATGGTTCAGGTATGCTAACCCTTTGGCCATAATCTATGATACGTGGCTGTAAGGTTAGTGGTATTAACATGTATGGTGTGGTACATGGGGTGCATTGTTTCAACCTATATGTCTATGTGAGCTGCACGTTTGATTGGTATTCTACCTGTGTGTGGCCTACGGACAGTCTTTTGCCTGCTGATAGTCTGTGGTTAGAGGTCAGAGGTCAGTAGTACCTGTATGGCCTGCACCAGTCTGTTGCTGAGCTCCAGAGCAGCAGAGGCAGTGGAGGTACCGAAGGACGCTGCCCCCCGCTGGAGACCCCGGATAATGCGCCCATCCCGCCTGTACTGCTCTATTGGCATCCAGAACAAGTCCCTCACTCCATGGACTAGAGAGAGAGAAAGTTACATAAAAAACTAATGAGATCAACACTAAATGAGGTTGTGAGAGTAGGCTAGCTATAACCATATTGCAAGAGAACAATTCTATTAATATGGTTATAACTCAGGGACTACTAAAGGTCCTCTGTAGCTCAATTGGTAGAGCATGGCGCTTGTAATGCCAGGGTAGTGGGTTCGATCCCCGGGAACACCCATACGTAAAAATGTATGCACACATGACTGTAAGTCGCTTTGGATAAAAGCGTCTGATAAATGGCATATTATATATTATTATATTACTAAAGGGACAACGACAAAGCTCACCAAACAAGTGACGTCACTTCCTGTACTTACACAGCTGAACTACAGAGTGCATGGGGCCTACACCTCCCAGAATGCCCTGCAGCTGGTTCTTTCTGATGTCTGTCAGCCACTCAGTGACAGCGTACTGAATCACCTTATCTACGCCTAGAAGTCTGGGAGGAAGAGATATTAGAGAAAAGCGTTATGAAAAAGACACTTGCTTCAGACTACAGAGAAACCCCACAGAGTTAGTGTTGTTGTACCCGTGTCGGCAGCAGAGTCTCTTCAGCTTCAGTTCAGAGCAGTTCAGCTGGGCCAGACCAATAAGAATCCCTGCAAACGTCCCCTAGGAAACAATCACGGTGCAAAGGTCAAGTGTGTGACATAACATAATAAACCACAGAGATTGGTTCACAGACAAATCATCGCAGTTAAAATGTCCTTTGTCCTTTCACCTGCTCAATGACCACATGCTTTCCCTGGTAGTCCAGCCAGATGGGGACTTCAGAGGTGAAACGGAACTCCCTTAGAAAGGAAAGACAACGTATAAATAATTTCTACCCATTCGAAATAGACTTGAGTTTTTTTTGTAACTTCATGGATACATTTTGGGAGGATTAAGTTACAGTAATTACCGGAAGTAGATTGGCTGATCAGTGGAAGAGGTGGAGCCAGCGGACGAGGAGCTCTGCTCGCTATAGGTGGTTTCTACAGAAGCAGTGAGGTCAGGACCCAGACCAGCAGGGGTCTCCGTGCCACTGACCCCATCTTCAGTGGGCTTCTGGGAAGGGTCTGTCTTCACTGTGAGAGGACAGAGAGAGAAATTGAAGAAAACAGGAGAAAGTATTGAGTGGTTGAGGAGGATATACACTACATGACCAAAAGTGTGTGGACACCTGCTCGTCGAACATCTCATTCCAAAATCATGGCCATTAATATGGAGTTGGTCCCACCTTTGCTGCTATAACAGCCTCCACTCTTCTGGGAAGGCTTTCCACTAGATGTTAGAACATTGCTGCGGGGACTTGCTTCCTTTCAGCCATAAGAGCATTAGTGAGGTCGGACACCGATCTCGACAAACCATTTCTGTATGGACCTCTCTTTGTGCACGGGGGCATTGTCTTGCTGAAACAGGAAAGGGCCTTCCCCAAACTTTTGCCACAAAGTTGGAAGCAGAGAATCATCTAGAATGTCATTGTATGCTGTAGTGTTAAGATTTCCCTTCACTGGATCTAAGGGGCCTAGCCCAAACCATGAAAAACAGCCCCAGACCATTATTAGCTTGTTTGGCCTACCACTTCACGGCTGAGCCGTTGTTGCTCCTGGACGTTTCCACTTCACAATAACAGCACTTACAGTTGACCGGGGCATCTCTAGCAGGGCAGAAATTTGACAAACTGACTTGTTGGAAAGGTGGCATCCTATGATGGTGCCACGTTGAAAGTCACTGAGCTCTTCAGTAAGGCCATTTTACTGCCAATGTTTGTCTATGGAGATTGCATGGCGGTGTGCTCAATTTTATACACCTGTCAGCAACGGGTATGTTCACTAATTTGAAGGGGTGTCCACATACTTTTGTATATATAGTGTATGATACAGAGCACCAAAAAGTAATTATATGTATAATTGTTTTCCTGATCCATGTGACCTGAGCAGGAAAAAACCCAAGGCCCTACTTATCATGTAGAGTACAGAGAACACAATGAGGAAGGCCCTCAAAATTGTCAAAGACTCCAGCCACCCTAGTCATAGACTGTTCTCTCTGGTACCGCACGGCAAGCGGTACCGGAGTGCCAAGTCTAGGTCCAAAAGACTTCTCAACAGCTTCTACCCCCAAGCCATAAGACTCCTGAACAGCTAATCATGGCTACCCGGACTATTTGCACTGCCCCCCCACCTCATCCTTTTTACGCTGCTGCTACTCTGTTAAGTATTTATGCATAGTCACTTTAACTCTACCCACATGTACATATTACCTCAACTAGCCGGTGCCCCCGCACATTGACTCTGCAACGGTACCCCCCTGTATATATAGCCTCCCTACTGTCACTTTATTTTACTGTATATATAGCCTCCCTACTGTCACTTTATTTTACTTCTGCTCTTTTTTTTCTCAACACTTTTTTTTTGTTGTTGTTTTATTTTTAAAAATAAATGCACTGTTGGTTAAGGGCTGTAAGTAAGCATTTCACTGTAATGTCTGCACCTGTTGTATTCGGCGCATGTGACCAATAAAATTTGATTTGATTTGATTTGATGATGGTGCTCACCCTCAGCTGCAGGGTCCACAGGCAAGTAGGGGTTAACTCCAGCAGCCAGACTACTGAAGAAATCCTTCAGGAAGAACAAGGCATCCTGGTCGATGTTGAGTCGGAGGGGCAGGAGGCTGACTCTTAAACAACACTCTGCACCACCCAGACCAGAGTCTGGACACACCTGCAGGGCCTTCACTGTTAACTGGGACACACAGATAACACATTAGGTAGAATTACAACAAAACCATTACAACCCAATATCATAGAAACATTTATAATTCCCCTGGAAATTAGAATCATTTATAAAAACACTTTCACAACGAAAAGGAAATAATGATAAATGGCTATAAAAAGCCTCTTCTCTCACCATGTTGGAGTGTGCTCTGCGGGGCATGCTCTCGCTGGTGTACAGGTAGAGGAACTTGTTGAGCTGGGACGAGGCCAGGCGGTCGCGCACCTCCAGCTCCTGAACGATGAACACCTGGCGGGACAGAGGCTGCTCCCCCACCGCCCCGACCCCCACCCCCACCCCAGGCCCCTCTCCCTCCTGACCCGGCCCAGCCGCAGACACCACCCCAGGCCCCTCTCCCTCCTGACCCGGCCCAGCCGCAGACACCACCCCCCGATACGACTCATGCTGGAAGCTCACCTGGAACAGGAATGGCACATTTAACTAATAGCACCAGTTATGTAGCTTTTTGCTGTCTCCACTTTAACAAAAGGATCGGTTGACATTTATGCTACACTCCAACTGAACATATCCTTACAATGGGGGAAAAAATGAATTAGATTTCCATTTTGTTCAGAGAAAAGAATCAACGGCAAACAATATCTTTAGAGTACTGTATGGATACACACAGTACATACACTCTCCCTCCCTTGGTGAGCTGGATCACAGTACATACACTCTCCCTACCTTGGTGAGCTGGATCACAGTACATACACTCTCCCTACCTTGGTGAGCTGGATCACAGTACATACACTCTCCCTCCCTTGGTGAGCTGGATCACAGTACATACACTCTCCCTCCCTTGGTGAGCTGGATCACAGTACATACACTCTCCCTACCTTGGTGAGCTGGATCTCCATGAGCAGGTTGTGTTGACGTCCACCGCCACCAGCCCAGCGCCAAGAGTTCTGAGGCCGGGACGGAGCAGCAGAGCGGGACGGGGACCCACGCATCCCAGAGGGGGCAGAGCGACCCCTAGAGAGAGAGGGGGAGGGAGGGAGAGGAAAGAGAGAAAGGAGCTTGATGATCAGTAAGAGAGAAATCTTACATATTCAAGTGCCTGTTGCTGGGTTGTGTGTGCATGTCTGAATAATGCTGTGCATTTGTCTGTATATGTGTGTGTATGGACACCTGTTTCCATGCTGCGTGTGTGTAGACATGGCCTTGCCCCCGAAGTCTCTCCCTCCGTACAGATGCCAGACGACAGACACCTCTCGTAGCACCACCCTGCTCTGGGGGACAGGGAAGCGGCTGGGGGCCCGCAGCAGGTCAGAGCTTCCCCGCGGCCGGGAGAAGTGGCCCTCCCTCACCCTGATAGGACTCTCAGTTAATACAGTCACCAGGGGCTCCCCGTCTCTGGGCTGGGGGTGAATTAATGAACATGGACACCAGAATAGGTTTAGTACTTCATGTTGCATAATTCAATTCCGTGTGAACTAAAGGTAATAGAGAAAGTAGTATGGAGAGATGAGGGGATGAAATAGAGAACAGAGACTCACAGGTATACCCATCCCAGGAGCCTCTAGGATGCAGAAGTCCTCGTTGTCCTCTGAACCCTCAGAGCCCTCCTCTGACATCATATCCGCCTGCACCTCAGTGGCTGTCGCCACCAGTCCGTCAAGCTCTGAATCCTCCCCGTCAATGACAACAGGTGGGCGGAGCTTGGGAGCCTCCCCGGGGAAGAGGTAGACAGAGACAGGTGAGCCCCGCTGGACTGTGGGAGAACCTGGAAACACACAAGGAAATATCCCACATGTCCAGGAGTCATCACCATCCTCTATTTAATGTATATTATATGTATAGAGGACTGTAAGCCGCTCTGGATAAGAGCATCCAGTAGACCAGTGTTACCCAACTCCAGTACTCCCGTACCCCCAACACTACACATCTTTGGTGTAGCCCCGGACAAACTCACCTGATTCAACTCATTGAGGGCTTGATGATTAGTTGAAAAGTTGAATCAGGTGTGCTCGTCCGGGGCTACATCAAAAATGTGTGCTGTTCTGGGAACCAAAGTTGGGAAACACTGATCTAAATGGCCAAAATGTAAAATGTTATATCTAGTGATGCTGAACAACACTATCATTTAATAGCCCGTTTTACCTGAGTCCATATCCTCATCTGGATGGCTCCTCTCGGTGTCAATCAAAGCATCAAGGAGATCGCACTGGTTGATCTCAGCAGTCTCAGCTGGAGGGCAGGGTGGCAAGGAGGCGGGACTTTCTGACAACTAACACATGACACGTAAACACAGACAGAAAGATCAGGGATGGACAACTCCAGTCCTCAGGGGTTGATTCAAATAATTGCATTCTAAACTGAAGATCATGATTAGTTGATTATTGGAGTCGGGTGTGTTAGCTGGGGAAAACGTGTGACACTAGTCAGGACCCTGAGGACTGGAGTTGCCCATCCCTGCAATAGATAGTTGAAGCTAGTGGAGTTAGGCTCCTATTCTACCGCTCCACAGTTTCATTCTCTTCAGTTGTTCTCACACAATGCTTATACGAACAAACATACAAAATCAGTTCCAGACCTTAAACAAGGTAGTATATCCTAGTCTACTGTATATAAACAGCACAGGAACGAAATCATCAACATGTATTGATCACATCTTTACTAATGCTGCAGAAATGTGCTTGAAAGCAGTATCCAGATCCATCGGATGTAATGATCACAATATAGTAGCCATATCTAGGAAAACCAAAGTTCCAAAGGCTGGGCCTAATATAGTAAAAGAGGTCATACAATAAGTTTTGTAGTGATTCCTATGTTGTTGATGCACAGAATATTTGTTGGTCCGTGGTGTGTAATGAGGAGCAAACAGACGTTGCACTTGACACATTTATGAAATTGCTTATCCCAGTTACTAATAAGCATGCACCCATTAAGAAAATGACTTTTAAAAACAGTTAAATCTCCATGGATTGATGAGGAATTGAAAAAAGGTATGGTTGAGAGGGATGAGGCAAAAGGAATGGCAAATAAGTCTAGCTGCACAACCGATTGGCAAACGTACTGCAAATTGAGAAATCATGTGACTAAACTGAATAACAAGAAGAAACTACACTATGAAACAAAGATAAATGACAAATAATTATAGTAAAAAGCTTTGGAGCACCTTCAATGAAATGTTGGGAAAAAAGGCAAACTCACCTCCATCATTCATCACAAAACCGACTGAAATTGCTAACTACTTTACAGATTTTTTCATTGGCAAGATTAGCAAACGTATGCATGACATGCCAGCAACAAAACGCTGACACTACACATCCATGTATATCTGACCAAATTATGAAAGACAAGAATTGTAATTTTGAATTCCGTAAAGTGAGTGTGGAAGAGGTGAAACAATTATTGTTGTATATCAACAATGACAAGCCACCGGGGTCTGACAACTTGGATGGAAAATGACTGAGGATAATAGCGGACGATATTGCCCTCCTATTTGCCATATCTTCAATTTAAGCCTACTAAAAAGTGTGTGCCCTCAGCCGTGGACGGAAGCAAAAGTCATTCCGCTACCTAAGAATAGTAAAGCCCCCTTTACTGGCTCAAATAGCCGACCAATCAGCCTGTTACCAACCCTTAGTAAAGTTTTGGAAAAAATTGTGATTGACCAGATACAATGCTATTTTACAGTAAACAAATTGACAACAGACTTTCAGCACACTTATAGGGAAGGACATTCAACAAGCACAGCACTTACACAAATGACTGATGATTGGCTGAGAGAAATTGATGATAAAAAGATTGTGGGGGCTGTTTTGTTAGACTTCATTGCGGCTTTTGACATTATCGATCATAGTCTACTGCTGGAAAAACGTATGTGTTATGGCTTTACTCCACCTGCTATATTGTGGATACAGTTACCTGTCTAACAGAACACAGAGGGTGTTCTTTAATGGAAGCCTCTCCAACATAATCCAGGTAGAATCAGGAAACACCCAGGGCAGCTGTCTAGGCCCCTTACTTTTTTCAATCTTTACTAACGACATGGCTTTTTATTATTTTCATTTATTTTACCTTTATTTAACTAGGCAAGTCAGTTAAGAACAAATTCTTATTTATAATGACGGCCTACACCGGCCAAACCCGGACGACGCTGGGTCAATTGTGCGCCGCCCTATGGGACTCCATATCACGGCCGGTTGTGATACAGCCTGGAATCGAACCAGGGGGTCTGTTGTGACGCCTCAAGCACTGAGATGCAGTCCCTTAGACCACTGCGCCACTCGGGAGCCTTGGAGTAAAGCCAGTGTGTATATGTATTCAGATGACTATACACTATAGACGTCAGCTACTACAGCGACTGAAATGACTGCAACACTTACCAAAGAGCTGCAGTTCGTTTCAGAATGGGTGGCAAGGAATAAGTTAGTCCTAAATATTTCAAAAACTAAAAGCATTGTATTTGGGACAAATCATTCACTAAACCCTAAACCTCAACTAAATCTTTTAATAAATAATGTGTAAATTGAGCGAGGTGACTAAACTGCTTGGAGTAACCCTGGATTGTAAACTGTCATGGTCAAAACATACTGATACAACAGAAGCTAAGATGGGGAGAAGTCTGTCTATAATAAAGCGCTGCTCTACCTTCTTAACAGCACTATCAACAAGGCAGGTCCTACAGGCTCTAGTTTTGTCGCACCTGGACTACTGTTCAGTCGTGTGGTCAGGTGCCACAAAGTGGGACTTAGGAAAATTGCAATTGGCTCATAACAGGCAGCACGGCTGGCCCTTTGATGTACACAGAGAGCAAACATTAATAATATGCATGTCAATCTCTCCTGGCTCAAAGTGGAGGAGAGATTGACTTCATCACTACATGTATTTGTGAGAGGTATTGACATGTTGAATGTACTGAGCTGTCTGTTTAAACGACTAGCACACAGCTCAGACACCCATGCATGCCCCACAAGACATGCCACCAGAGGTCTCTTCACAGTCCCCAAGTCCAGAACAGACTATGGGAGGCGCACAGTACTACATAGAGCCATGACTACATGGAACTATATTCCACATCAGGTAACTGATGCAAGCAGTAGAATCAGATTTAAAAAACAGATAAAAAGACACTTCAAGGAACAGCGGGGACTGTGAAGCAACACACACATGATAACATACGCACTATACACACACATACACATGGATTTTGTGTGGTAGATATGTGGTAGTGGATCAGGGGCATGAGGGCACACAGTGTGTTGTGAAATCTGTCATGAATGTACGGTAATGTTTTTAAAATGTATAACTGCCTTCATTTTGCCAGACCCTAGGAAGAGTAGCTGCTGCCTTGGGGATCCATCATAAATATAACTACTGGTCTGTCTACCGGCAGCTTCTGTCCAGCGATCTCAGTGGGTGATGCGTGTCGGGGGGGCGGGTGCAGGTCTCCCTGGGAGACCAGGTACTGCAGCATGTTGACCAGGGCAGCACAGGAGTCAGCACAGGTGTGGAGGTGGACCACGTTGTTGGAGCAACGCAGCTCAAACAGTGGTTGGGACTAGGAGAGACAGAGAGGAGGGGATAGGAAAACAGCGTAGATTTGAGACCAACAGTCTCTAAAGTTCAAACACACAGACAGATGTATAATCACACAAAATTGGCAAGCTAAAAACGTACCAGTTTCCCCGTATCACTGCCTTTCCATGTGGTAATGGCCAGCTCCAGCAGATCAATGTCCAGGACACACACATAGTCTGAGGTGAGGGAGAGAGTGCGTTAGAATTGAACACACACTCAAACGCAGATGTACACACACGGTCCAGTTAATCATGTGGCATACCTCGTCTCAGGTCCACTACATCACTTTCACATTTATCAGAGAGATACAGGGCAGAGTCATCCAGGATAAACCTGAGGTGAAAGGTGGCAGTGTCTACGATGATGTTACTGGACAGAGAGAAGGATTCTGCTGTGAACAACACCCTCAATGGAAGATACAGGGGCCTGAGAGACAGAGAGCAACAAAGAAGGGGAGAGAAGGGAGAAGTGAAAAATTATTAACATATAATGATTTATTATCTACCTTTGTCCACATATGTAAATCTGCTGTGTGTGTATACCTGTAGTCCACGGCGCAGGTGGCCAGGTGTGTGTGTAGGACGGTAATAACTGCAGGAGATGTGTAGCCCAGGATCGGGTCATCAATGACATCCAGAAAATCAACCAGCTGTCATGAAGAAACACAGCCTAATCAACAAGACTCACTAACCAAACACACACCACGCAGTAAAATCATGACAGGTGCCTGAAGCTTCTCTGCTTTGGTATTTATTAGGATCCCCAATTTCCCGCATACCTGTTCGTGCCAGCTGTGATCGGTCTGTGCCATGTGATGTCGCATAGTGGCGCCATGGAGACGAAGGGCAACCAGGAACTCCTGTAAAACACACAAACACAGAATGAAGTTAGTGATATTTCTTAATCACAAGCACAGCTAACTTACAAGCGCAATCAAAAGGTGATATTTCATTCAAATAATACATGAGAAGATATGAATGTTACCTTGACGTTGCTCTGAGGGTCCAGGGTGATTTTGATAGCCGTGGATAACATCTGGACCTCAGTCTCCCTGCCACTCACACTGCTCACCCCCACCTCTGTGGGGTAAATGGTAGGGTCCAGATGCCCTGGGGGAGTGAAGCTGGGCATTTCTAACCGCCCGGGGACAGGGGAGTCTTTCACTACAGCTGTGAATTGGAGGAAAAGAGTTAGTGACCAGAAGGGAAAGAGGTAAGGGCTGTCAGTCATTTAGAAGAGATACACATGATAACACATGGATTTTCACACTACTACAAATGATTAGGAAGGTACTTCCAGAGCTAAACCCTGATATATTCCACTCACCTTTGTGGTAAAGCTCCACCCTCCTACTCTCCAGGCACAGGAAGCTGAGATGGGGGTTGTTATGATGCTGCGCCACACTGAACATCTTCCCCCCTTCCAGGTCCAACAGGAGCTCCCCGTGACACCGCTCCTCCTGACTTCCTGTCTCTCCCTGAAGGAGGCGAAACAGGAAACAGAAAACGATTTACTAAACAGGTGTCTTCCTTAGAAGCATCATAGTACACGTACACATTCATTCAATTTGTGTAATACAAATTCCAAACTACTGAATTCAAATGAAATTTACGTTAGCTCTAATATCGTTCCTTCAAGCAGTAAGGTGCAGTCAGGATTTGAACCAGGAACCAAAATCTCTCCAGTCTATATCCCTAGCTAACCATTGTAAGATGTAGCTGGTTCATTATTTGCTCACCTTGCTGTCCGTCATGGCTTGGAGGCGGCCCTTCCCTATGACGACGGTGAGGGAGAGCAGGCTGAGGGCGTGGTTAGGGCGGGGCTCCGACTGCCTGCATCTGGCTGATACACTGGCTGTGTAGAACTGAGCATCTTCCTCCTCGGAGTCTGAGTCTGAGAGACCAGAAACATCACAGTTATAGAACTGTTGAACAACGACACATTTCAGATGGTCTGCAGGGTGCAGACTAAAGAGTTGCTCAACACATACCACTTGGCAAGCCATTTTAAATCAGAGCTTTAAATAGACTAAAGATGTTAACAAGTTGCTACCCAGAGATTACCCAATTCTGTCTGACCAGTTTGAAGTGGTTTACAAGTCTCAGTATGGGGGTCTCACCTAGTCTGAAGGCAGACTTGCAGAGCTGGAAGTAGTCGTTGTCTTGGCGATGGTGTTGGGGGCTGTGGTGGCTCTTAGGGACTGAGGGGGGAGGGGCTTCCCACATCAACAGGTCATTATTGATCCTACAGGGATGGAGAGAGGAGGACAAAGGGGAAGAACAGAAAAAGAGAAAGTGAGTGATGTAAAATGGTGGAAACAAATAAACAAATTAGCGAGAGAGACAGACACACAGACCTGTTGTAGACACTCTGGAAGGCCTGTTTGCTGGGCAGGAAGATGTAGGCCAGGGGCAGAAAGATGTCTACTACACACTGACACTGAGAGACACACTGAGACTGGAACTGTTGCATCTCCTCTGGGTCTGCTGGGATCACCATCTGAAGGGGGGGCAATGAAAGTAGTTAGATAGAGGAGAAGACAGAAGGATGAGGAGACAGGAGGATGAGGAGCAGAGGACAGAAGGATGAGGAGACAGAAGGGTGAGAAGACAGAAGGAGGAAGAGAGGACAGGAGGTTGAGGAGACTGGAGGATGAGGAGACAGGAGGATGAGGAGACAGGAGGATGAGGAGCAGAGGACAGAAGGATGAGGAGACAGATTGATGAGAAGACAGAAGGGTGAGAAGAAAGAAGGAGGAAGAGAGGACAGGAGGTTGAGGAGACCGGAGGATGAGGAGACCGGAGGATGAGGAGACAGAAGGATGAGGAGGAGAGGACAGAAGGAGGAGGAGGAGACAGGAGGATGAGGAGACAGAGGAGGAGGAGGAGAGGACAGGAGGATGAGGAGACAGAAGGAGGAGGAGGAGAGGACAGGAGGATGAGGAGACAGGAGGAGGATGAGGAGACAGGAGGATGAGGAGAGGACAGGAGGATGAGGAGACAGGAGGAGGAGGAGAGGACAGGAGGATGGAGGGAAAGAGGAGGGAGGACAGAAGGAGGGGGACAGGAGGAGAGGACAGGAGGATGAGGAGACAGGAGGATGAGGAGAGGACAGGAGGATGAGGAGAGGACAGGAGGATGAGGAGAGGACAGGAGGATGAGGAGACAGAAGGAGGAGGAGAGGACAGGAGGAGGAGGAGACAGGAGGATGAGGAGACAGGAGTATGAGGAGACAGAAGGAGGAGGAGGATGAGGAGACAGGAGGATGAGGAGACAGGAGGAGGACACAGAAGGATGCAGAGGAGAGGACAGAAGGATGAGGAGGAGAGGACAGAAGGATGAGGAGAGGACAGAAGGAGGAGGATGAGGAGACAGGAGTATGTGGAGACCGAAGGAGGAGGAGGAGACAGGATGATGAGGAGACAGGAGGATGAGGAGACAGGAGGAGGAGGATGAGGAGACAGAAGGAGGAGGAGGATGAGGACACAGAAGGAGGAGGACACAGAAGGATGCAGAGGAGAGGACAGAAGGAGGAGGAGGAGAGGACAGAAGGAGGAGGAGACAGAAGGAGGAGGAGGAGAGGACAGGAGGATGAGGAGAGGACAGGAGGATGAGGAGACAGAAGGAGGATGAGGAGACAGGAGGATGAGGACACAGAAGGATGCAGAGGAGAGGACAGAAGGATGAGGAGGAGAGGACAGAAGGATGAGGAGACAGGAAGAGGAGGACGAGAGGAGTATGAGGAGACAGAAGGAGGAGGAGGATGAGGAGACAGGAGGAGGAGGAGGAGAGGACAGGAGGATGAGGAGACAGGAGGAGGAGGACGAGAGGAGTATGAGGAGACAGAAGGAGGAGGAGGAGGAGGAGACAGGAGGATGAGGAGACAGGAGGGGGAGGAGGAGAGGACAGGAGGATGAGGAGACAGAAGGATGAGGAGGAGAGGACAGGAGGATGAGGAGACAGAAGGAGGAGGAGGAAATGACAGGAGGAGGAGACAGAAGGATGAGGAGACAGAAGGATGAGGAGACAGAAGGGTGAGGAGACAGAAGGGTGAGGAGGAGAGGACAGAAGGATGAGGAGAAGAGGACAGAAGGATGAGGAGACAGAAGGGTGAGGAGAAAGAAGGATGAGGAGAGGACAGAAGGATGAGGAGACAGAAGGATGAGGAGACAGGAGGAGGAGGAGACAGGAGGAGGAGGAGACAGGAGGAGGAGACAGAGACAGGAGGATGAGGAGACAGGAGGAGACAGGAGGATGAGGAGACAGAATGATGAGGAGACAGGAGGATGAGGAGACAGAATGATGAGGAGACAGGAGGAGGAGGAAAGGTTAGACTGCAACTTTTGGAAAGTGGGTAAAATTAAAACCCAACATCTTTAGGAAGTGTGAGATCATGAGGGATGGTGAGGAACTGAAAATTGGTCCAGAGAGGGATGGTCAGGGGTGAGAGAGAGGATGGTCAGGGGTGAGAGAGAGGATGGTCAGGGGTGAGAGAGAGGATGGTCAGGGGTGAGAGAGAGGATGGTCAGGGGTGAGAGAGAGGATGGTCAGGGGTGAGAGAGGGATGTTAGGGGTGAGAGAGGATGGTCAGGGGTGAGAGAGGGATGTTAGGGGTGAGAGAGGATGGTCAGGGGTGAGAGAGGGGAGAGTAGGTGTTTGTGATGGGATGGTGCGGTACCTCCTCAGTCTCGAACATGGTGCGGTTGGAGGAGAAGGGAGAGCTGGTCTTCTCTCGGAGTTCACAGGGGTTCTCAAACGACATGGACCCCAGGTCCCTCATCAGACCCAGCCCGACCCCCCCTAACGCTGACCCCAGACCCTCTCCTCCATTGACACGCACTGACAGCCTGGAGAGAGGGAGGGAGAGAGAGAGATAGAAAAAGAAACAGACAGGGAGATGTAAACTATACAGTAGGTTGATGTGCAACGTTGACTTCTGAAACACATTAAATCTACGCAGCCAAGTGACACAGCAAGTGAAACAAACTCTCCTAAAATACATGTTCCAGAAACACACTCACTTGGCCATGGAGTCTTGACTCTTCTGGACTCTGATACAGGGGAAGGAGCCTCCTTCCCAGCCCTCATACGTTCCTGAGAGAAACAATTAACAAACAATTGCTCAAAATGTGTTAATGTTTGTGTGTATATTTGACTGTGTGTGTGTATTCCTCACCGTGCATGTCACTGAAGCTAGCCTCCAATAGCTGTGTGAGGGGGCCGTGGGGGGGGCCAGGGGGTGCATTGGGATCCGGCTGGAGGTCAGGGCCCTCCTGGGAGCGGATATCCAGGTCACACAGCTCCAGCACCAGGGTCTCCTGCCGCACGGCCCTCTGGGAAGGCGGGCGTCGGAGGGGGAGCGGCCGGAGGTCCGGGATGGGGAAGCGGAGCTTGAGGACGGCGTGGGGCGAGAGGAGGGAGAGAGAGGAGTGCAGCTCACTGCTCTGGGTCTGAGAGAGGGATGGGAGAGGAGGAGAGGAGGATATTCAAAACAAAACAAATTCGAAACATAAAGCAAACCTGCAATTTAACTTCATTTGTGAGGCATGCATATCAAAAACATTATCAAATGGCTCCTCTTAGTGGATGATGGCTTGCTAAGTGTTTACCTGTGTCTGTACGGGTCCTCCTCCTGTCTGTGTGGGACAGTGGCTGCAGGCTCTGCTCAGAGGTTCCAGTCGACTCAGAATGTCAAGGTCCAACTCAGCACTCAGCTCTCCCAACTCTACCCTCACTACACTGTCTCTACGCACCACACGCTGCCTCCCCTGCAATACAGAGACATATCAGGAGGAGGGGGTAGCAGGTTAACAGAGGAAACCAAAACAGACTGAATCAATGACATATTAGCTTTTGAACATGTTCAACTGACACAAACACACAACATACACACTGTCCTGGTTTACCTTGCGCAGGTGTTTCTCTGTGAGACTGTAGTGTAGCTGTGCACAGGGTCTGGCTGTAGCTCCCACTGTGAACGTACCAGCCCGCTGGAACTGCAGCAGCTACAGAGAGAGAAAAAACAGTGAAGAGAGGAAAGCGTTATATCCTGGGCAATGCTAGCCCCTGCTGAAACACACTGTATTATGATGAATGTTGTGTTAAAGCCCTCAGATAATCTCAAATAACAGCCCCTGTCCTACCTCAGTGTATTGGGGTTTGCCTGGCTCCCAGAGACACTCAAGCAGCTCTAGCCTGCTGAAGGACACGTCAGAGGTCACAGCACGGGAGTGGCGACCTGCACTGCGCATCTCACATGCCACCTGTACCGCTGCTCCAGTCATCCTGAGAGAGAGAGAGACACACAGAGAGAGAGAGACACAGAGAGAGACACAGAGAGAGACACACACACACACACACACACAGAGAGAGAGAGGCATAGAGAGAGAGAGAGAGAGAGAGAGAGAGAGACACACAGAGAGAGACACAAGAGAGAGAGAAGAAAGACACAAGAGAGACCAGAGACAACAACGAGAGAGAGACACACAGAGAGAGAGGAGAGAGCAAAAGAGAGGAGACGAGAGAGAGAGCAAGCAGAGAGGAGAGGACCAGGCCGAGAGAGGAGACGACACAAGAGAGAGAGGAGCGAGAGAGCCGAAGAGAGATAGAGAGGACGAGAGAGAGAGACCAGAGAGAGAGAGACAGAGAGAGAGAAGAGAGACGCATGAGAGGAGAGAGAGAGAAGAGAGAGAGAGAGAAGAGACAGAGAGAGAGAGAGAGAGAAAGGAAAAGAGAGAGAAACGAGAAGAGAGGAGGACAAAGAGAGAGAAGAAAGGAGAGAGAGACACAGAGAGAGAAGAGAGAGAAGAGAAGGAGAGAGAGAGAGAGAGAGAGAGACAGAGAGAGAAGAGGAGAGAAGAGACACAGAGAGGAGAGAGAGAGAGAAAGAGAGAGAGACAGAGAGACAGAGAGAGAGAGACAGAGAGAGGAGGACAGAGAGAGAGACAGAGATGGACAGAGAGAGGAGGACAGAGAGAGGAGGACAGAGAGAGGAGGACAGAGATGGAGAGCGAAAAAGGATGATTTATTTTTTTACATTTATTTTTAGTCATTTAGCAGATGCTCTTATCCAGAGCGACTGACAGTTAGTGAGTGCATACATTTTCATACTGGCCCCCCCGTGAGAAACGAACCCACAACCCTGGCGTTGCAAGCGCCATGCTCTACCTCTACAGGGGACTACTTATTGATATGTAGGGAAGGTTTGTTGATTTATCTGAGGAGTGGTGGCCAATGTTGAAGAGGCTATTGTGTGTTTGTACCTGAGGTGTGAGTGGGGGCAGGCTTCAGCAAAGCTAGCTCTGAGGTGGTGGAAGTCTCTCTCACTGAACATGCTGTCTTTGAAGAAGGCCAGCTCCCGGAAGAACACTCGAGACACCTGGGCTAATGAGCAAGCTGCGTCTGGCCCGGGGGGCGGGTCCTGCTCCAGTAGGGTTAGGGTGAGCCCGCCAAGCGAGAGGCGGAGCAACATCTCTGGCTTCAGGGGCTCTGATTGGTTACTTCGCCCTGGAGGAGGGGTTAATAAGATGGATCAGGAAGATAGGTTGTATAGTATCGTTTTTGTTATCTGTGAAATGTGTACAAGACAGTGTGAGTAAGATGTTGTGAGTGTTACCTGGTATTCTGCTACACTGAGGCAGGCTGGATAGTGATCCTGGTACAGGATAACGCCTGGGACCCTGTGGTAGGCCCTGGGCGTAGCTAGCCTGGCTGTGTGTAGACGACGCCATGCTGTCAGAGAGAGAGCTGCCAGAGCGCGCTGACGTCACACTGCTGGTCATACCAGGACCCATGGAGTAGAACATATCTGAGAGAGAGAATGAGAGAGGAAGAAGAGAAAGACAGAGAGAGAAGAGAGACAGAGAGAATGAGCACTATGCTTCACATGTCTAGTTCAACCAAGCTCCAAGAACATGTCAAGAATGCAAATTATGCAGCAGCAGACAACTGTTCACATGTCCTGCAGACTATGTATCACCACAAAGCTAATGCGACCCCTGTCACCGCAAAATTCACTAGCCTCCATATTGCATTCCAACTCTTTAGCTGCCCTCCACTACCCCACGTACCCCCGTTCTCCAGACCGGTGAGGTAGGGCTCCATGTCAGGCTCGTCATCCCAGTCCGGATCTCCATCGCCGGGGCTGGAGCTCAACTGTTTGCTCAAGTCCTCCTCTATCAGACGCAGGTCCTCAGAGTCCAGGGGACGGCTGTGAACCCCAGCACCACTGGCCTCAGGCTCTGGTAGGATAGACAGGGAGGAATCATACAGGGTCTGCAGTACACAGTGCATATGAAGATGTGCATGGTTAAACTATGGATCCAAACAAAGTGTGTTCAGTTAATTGAGTTTTGTTCCACTGTCAATGACATTAGGATGTGGCACTAAGACACATATGAGGAATGCAGGTGGGGAGGCACAGGTAACCAGTTTCTTTACTCACCTGTGTCGATGCAGAGGGCAGATAAAAGGTCGGTCAGGTGAGTGATCTGGTCTGGAGAGAGCAGCAGGTGGAGGCAGCCCACCTTCCCATCCAGCTCCAACTGGAAGATAAGGAGAGAGAAATTGTTGGAATAACAGTGACAAAACAAAAGACAAAAGCAAAACAGAGGTTCTTAAAAACTTAAGTGCACACAGGAAGGAAATGAACAACCTTAGGTCCAGGCAGCATGTCGTTCTGTTTGATCTTGACCGTGGTCTCCATGAAGCCGGAGCAGCTGCCGATGAGGAGGGGCTGCTGGGTGGCCGGAGGGGGGGAGGTGGGGGCGACTGGAGGGTCATCATCCTCCTCCTCCTCCTCATCCTCACATTCTTCCTCCTCTTCGCTGGCTGAGGCTGAGCCAGGGGTGTCCGCTCTTAAAGAACCCTGTGAAGGAGAGGACGATTACCATGGTGCTGGAGGGAATGGCTGCCGTTTTACTGGCTCCTAACCAACTGTGCTATTTTTTCAACAAAAAAACAACATTGTTTGTCACTTATTTTGTACATAATGTTGCTGCTACCATCTCTTATGACCGAAAAGAGCTTCTGGACATCAGAACAGCGATTACTCACCTCGAACTGGAGGAAGATTTTTTATTTAATGAGTCCGACGCGAAGGATATACTGCTTTCCCGTGACCAGGCCCAAATCCCCGCGTGAAGAAAAGACGGAGATACAGGGGGCGGAGGTCGGGGTAACTTGTGAGAATTTGTCGGCAAGTGGGTAAACCGCCACTACCATCCGTCCTATTGGCCAACATGCAATCATTGGAAAATAAACTGGATGATCTACGATCAAGACTATCCTACCAACGGGACATTAAAAACTGTAATATCTTATGTTACGTCGTTAGCCATGAAGTGCTTTGAAAGGCTGGTCATCGCTCACATCAACACCATCATCCCGGAAGCCCTAGACCCACTCCAATTCGCATACAGCCCCAACAGATGACGCAATCTCAATCGCACTCCACACTGCCCTTTCCCACCTGGCCAAAAGGAACACCTATGTGAGAATGCTGTTTATTGACTACAGCTCAGCGTTCAACACCATAGTGCCCACAAAGCTCATCACTAAGCTAAGGACCCTGGGACTAAACACCTCCCTGTGCAACTGGATCCTGGACTTCCTGACGGGCCGCCCACAGGTGGTAAGGTTGGCAAAAACACATCTGCCATCCTGATCCTCAACATGGGGGCCCCTCAGGAGTGTGTGCTTAGTCCCCTACTGTACTCCCTGTTCACCCACGACTGCATGGCCAAGCACAACTCCAACACCATCATTAAGTTTGCTGATGACACAACAGTGGTAGGCCTGATCACCGACAATGATGAGACAGCCTATAGGGAGGAGGTCAGAAACATGGCAGTGTGGTGCCAGGACCACAACTTCTCCCTCAATGTGAGCAAGACAAAAGGAGCTGATCGTGGACTACTGGAAAAGGAGGGCCGAACAGGCCCCCATTAACATTGGCTGTAGTGGAGCGGGTCGGGGTCGAGAGTTTGAAGTTCCTTGGTGTCCACATCACCAACGAACTATCATGGTCCAAACACACCAATACAGTCGTGAAGAGGGCACGACAACACATTTTCCCCCTCAGGAGACTGAAAAGATTTGGCATGGTTCCCCAGATCCTCAAAAAGTTATACAGCTGCACCATCGAGAGCATCCTGACCGGTTGCGTCACCGCCTGGTATGGCAACTGCTCGGCATCCGACCGTAAGGCGCTACAGAGGGTAGTGTGTGTGCCTATGGCCCAGTACATTACTGGGGACAAGCTTCCTGCCATCCAGGACCTACAGTTGAAGTCGGAAGTTTACATACACTTAGGTTGGAGTCATTAAAACTCGTTTTTCAACCACTCCACAAATTTCTTGTTAACAAACTATAGTTTTGGCAAGTCGGTTAGGACATCTACTTTGTGCATGACAAGTCATTTTTCCAACAATTGTTTGCAGACAGATTATTTCACTTATAATTCACTGTATCACAATTCCAGTGGGTCAGAAGTTGACTGTACCTTTAAACAGCTTGGAAAATTCAAGAAAATAATATAATGGCTTTAGAAGCTTCTGATAGGCTAATTGACGTCATTTGAGTCAATTGAAGGTGTACCTGTGGATGTATTTCAAGGCCTACCTTCAAACTCAATGCCTCTTTGCTTGACATCATGGGAAAATCAAAAGAAATCAGCAAAGACCTCAGAAGAAACATTGTATTCCTCCACAAGTCTGGTTCATCCTTGGGAGCAATTTCCAAACGCCTGAAGGTACCACGTTCATCTGTACAAACAATAGTACGCAAGTATAAAACCATGGGACCACGCAGCCGTCACACCGCTCAGGAAGGAGACGCATTCTGTCTCCTAGAGATGAACGTACTTTGGTGGGAAAAGTGCAAATCAATCCCAGAACAACAGCAAAGGACCTTGTGAAGATGCTGGAGGAAACAGGTACAAAAGTATCTATATCCATAGTAAAACGAGTCCTATATCAACATAACCTGAAAGGCTGCTCAGCAAGGAAGAAGCCACTGCTCCAAAACCGCCATAAAAAAGCCAGACTACGGTTTATAACTGCACATGGGGACAAAGATCATACTTTTTGGAGAAATGTCCTCTGGTCTGATGAAACAAAACTGTTTGGCCATAATGACCATCGTTATGTTTGGAGGAAAAAGGGGAATGCTTGCAAGCCGAAGAACACCATCCCAACCGTGAAGCACGGGGGTGGCAGCATCATGCTGTGTGGGGTGCTTTGCTGCAGGAGGGACTGGTGCACTTCACAAAATAGATGGCATCATGAGGAAGGAAAACTATGTGGATAAATTGAAGCAACATCTCAAGACATCAGTCAGGAAGTTAAAGCTTGGTCGCAAATGGGTCTTCCAAATGGACAATGACCCCAAGCATACTTCCAAAGTTGTGGCAAAATGGCTTAAGGACAACAAAGTCAAGGTATTGGAGTGGCCATCACAAAGCCCTGACCTCAATCCTATAGAACATTTGTGGGCAGAACTTAAAAAGCGTGTGTGAGCAAGGAGGCCTACAAACCTGACTCAGTTACACCAGCTCTGTCAGGAGGAATGGGCCAAAATTCACCCAACTTATTGTGGGAAGCTTGTGGAAGGCTACCCGAAACATTTGACCCAAGTTAAAGAAATTAAAGGCAATGCTACCAAATACTAATTGAGTGTATGTAAACTTCTGACCCACTGGGAATGTGATGAAAGAAATAAAAGATTCTCTCTACTATTATTCTGACATTTCACATTCTTAAAATAAAGTGGTGATCCTAACTGACCTAAGAAAGGGAATTTTTACTAGGATTAAATGTCAAGAATTGTGAAAAACTGAGTTTAAATGAATTTGGCTAAGGTGTATGTAAACTTCCGACTTCAACTGTATATACTACGCTATGCCAGAGGAAGGCCCAAAAAATTGTCAAAGACTCCAGTCAGCCAAGTCATAGACTGTTCTCTCTGCTACTGCATGGCAAGCGGTACCGGAGCGCCAAGACTAGGTACAAAAGGCTCCTTAACTTTATTAATCATTAATCAAATGGCCACCTGGACTATTTACATTGACCCCTCCCCCCTTTGTTTTTACACTGCTGCTACTCACTGTTTATCATCTGTGCATAGTCACTTTACCTCAACTAACCTGTACTCCCGCAGATTTACTCGGTACCGGTACCCCCTTTATATAGCCTCGTTATTGTTATTTTATTGTGTTACTTTGTATTTTATTTTTTCCTTTATTTAGTAAATATTTTCTTAACTCCATTTCTTGAACTGCATTGTTGGTTAAGGGCTTGTATGTAAGCATTTCACGGTAAGGTCTACACCTGTTGTATTCAGAGCATGTGACAAATAAAATGTGATTTGATTTAAAGGACTCTGAAGGAGAGGAAGATTACCAGCACTACTGGTTGGTAGAGTCTGTCAAATCAAATCAAATGTTATTTGCCACATGCGCCGAATACAACAGGTGTAGACCTTACCATGAAATGCTTATTTACAATCCCTTAACCAACAATGCAGTTATGAAAAAATGTAAAAAATAGATAAGTAAAAAATAAAAATAATTAAAGAGCAGCAGTCGTAGCCGGCCGCGACCGGGAGACCCATGGGGCGGCGCACAAGTCGTCCAGGGTAGGGGAGGGAATGGCCGGCAGGGATGTAGCTCAGTTGGTAGAGCATGGTGTTTGCAACGCCAGGGTTGTGGGTTCGATTCCCACGGGGGGCCAGTATGAAAAAAAAAAAAATTATGTATGCACTCACTAACTGTAAGTCGCTCTGGATAAGAGCGTCTGCTAAATGACTAAAATGTAAAATAAAATAACAGTAGGGAGGCTATATACAGGGGGTACGGTACAGAGTCAATGTGCGGGGGCACCGGTTAGTCGAGGTAATTAAGGTACTATGTACATGTGGATAGAGTTAAAGTGACTATGCATAGATAATAAACAGAGTAGCAGCAGCGTAAAAGAGGGGGTGGTGCGGGGGACAATGCAAATAGTCTGGGTGCCATGATTAGCTGTTCAGGAGTCTTATGGCTTGGGGGTAGAAGCCACTAGGGGGAGTGTGAGAGGAAATATGAGTGTATGTGAGTAGTTTATAAGTGAATATTTAGGCTCTATAAGAGGTGTGTGTGTTATATTGGGACCCAACTTGAGTATATGCATGTGAGTGACTGTGTCCATTAGAAAGTTTATAAGTGCTGTGGTCAATGTAAAACTGTGCGTGTTACCTGGGGCCCTCTGGTGGTCTCGTACAGCAGTTGAACAGAGCTGAGCTGGAGGATCTTGTGCAGGAAGGCAGGGGGCTGGTGGATGTCTACAGGCACTGTCTGGCTGGGGTCCCTCACTGCCTCGTCACAGTACTCCAGCCTGCAGCGCACCACACAGCCACCGGGGGCAGACAAGAGCACTCAGCACAATAATGCTATGTAACCTTCAACCTCAGCCAAAACACCCACCATACACACATACAAGCTCTACTAAAGATAGTGAAGCTTCTCTGAGGTTCAGAGGTTCTCTTTGGATCTACAGCCAAATACAGAGACAATTTGGCATTGCAGGTTTGCCTCAAGTGTTTCCTCATCTCCTTCCTGACTTCTAAACTGGTCAAAGGTGGACAGACCACAAGAGGCAGTTTGAGAATGTCAGTGCGGTGAGAACCAACATACCGTTTGATGTGCACCTCTAAGGCAATGCCCGTCTCCAAGTCCAGGGGCTGGTGCTCGATTCGGACAATGGTGTCCAGGAGAGTGACTTTTATCCGACGCAGGACTGCAACATAACAAACAGGGACATCCACTATCACTAACCATATTGGTCACAAAGACACCAGAAGGGACACCAGTGATATGATTTCAGTCCTTATCTCACAAGCTTGGAATTGACAGTACATGACTGACTCCACAGTTTGAAAATGGCTGAAAAAGTTGTTGTTATCTTCAGAAGAAGGCATTAACCAACCACTGGGGACAGTACAGGAATGATAATGACAACTTTAAAACAGGTGCATACTTTTCACTGCCACACACATATGTGCAAACAAGGCCTACACAGTGACTCACCCGTCTCAATAGTTTGTGCAAACATCTCCAGGCCCTCCAGTGGAGCGGGCGGCTCCTCTGACGCCTCAGGGGGGTCCTTTAGGCACTCCTGGGCCAGCTGCATGCTGGAAGTCATGCATGTGGACCAGCCCTGGGAGTCCAACCCCCCACCTACAATTAAACAAAAACAAGGCATGATTCAGTGACTGTAATCAATGATAAGCGATGACTCATCATGGCCATATAGTACAGTAGCGTTTCCCCAAACTCGGTCCCGGGGACCTCAAGGGATGCACGTTTTGGTGTTGCCCTAGCACTACACAGCTGATTCAAATAATCAAAGCTTGATGAGTTCATTATTTAAATCAGCCATCTAGTGCTAGGCCAAAAAACAAAACATGCACCCAATGGGGTCCCCAGGACTGAGTTTGGGAAACGCTTCTGTACTGTATGACTGATCAACATAGTCATGTGCTACTTAATTGGTTTGCAGCTGGCTCTGAGAAATGTTGAGCCTGGGATAGATTAACATGTCTTCTCTTGAGCAAAGAGTTAGCTAGTACTAGACACTACTGTATTTGTCTGGTTGACAATAACATTCTAAAAGGTAGCTAATCAATGGTTACCACAACTTCCTTCCTGAACCTGACAGGCCTGAGGCAGTGACAGGAACAGGAGCTGAATCAATTACAAGGTAACAACAAAGAACTCATTAGTCAGGCAGAGTGGCTGTCAGGCTGAGACTTACTGGTCCTGTACTTGGGTTTGCATGTTATCTGAAGGCCTGAGATGACCAGGGTGCAGTGGTCGGTGACAAGAGCTGACCAGGGAATTGTCACCGCTATGCTGCTCACAAACCCATCCACAATCTCAAATGGAGCCCCAAGAGACTCCAATAGTTCGTTGACCGCCTGGGGGAGAGGGAAGGAAACGGGTGAAGAGAAATTAAGAGATGAGTGGAAGATCCGGGAAAAAATAAAAACAGTGTCCTACAATAAACAGCTGGTGGAAATTGCTTAGGGCAATGGGGTTGTCTGTTATGCAGATTGAAAGAGAGTGAGTTTGCGAGACCTAAGTATAACTTGGTCATATATATTTCAACTGAACTGCAGTGAGGTGAGTTATTTTCCAATCAGATGATGACAAAAATATTCTCGGAACGGCTGTTCCTTGAACTCACGAGAAGCGAGGATATGACGTCGATGATTGTTGTTATGTTCAAGTCTTGAAATTGCGAAATAAGTTTGTTGAGGGTCGGGTTGCATGGGAACACACAAAAGCGACGAGTTGTTCAGACAGTTAGACGGCTTCACTACTTTCACTAACTTACCCAAACGTCGATGTTGATTTCTTTGATGACACCACTACCATTGTACAGGTCCAAACTTAACTGTTCCAAACTCAGTCGTTCTTGTAAGAAGTGACCGAGGTAATGCTGTAAGAGGTACCGACAGGCCCGCTTCTTGATTGAGCCTGACCAGGGGAAAAGCCAGCGAGACATAGGGCCAGTGAGTTCAGGGTGAGGGAGCGAAGAAACGATGGTGTAAAACTAATGCGAAAACAGTCCTCTGGCAACTGCATAACAAAGAAAGCAAAGAAGTCTACTAACGAGCTACAGTGCTAGCTAGAAGTGGCTAAGGAAAGGTGTAAACCGTCTCTCGGAAATCCTTTGTGTCAGGACCGATGAGTCCAACGTCGTTTTAGAGGACGTTCTACTTGTCTTTAGTTGTTTCAGTTAATATTTTAGCGGTATTTCTGTCGAAACTAGGCGACAGGTCTTCTTGCATATCTCCCGTTTCTCAGGGTTGTTTATTGTTTTCATACTTGAACTGAATGTATGGTGGGGACGGCGCTGCGTCATTGCGTCATCAGTCGCAAAAGCCGTAAATTAGATTGATATACGCCATCTTTAGAAGGTCAAAACAAAACGGTGCCCGTTCTTCTTGTCTACCGCTGCCCAGGCGTTGCTGATATATGCCAGATCTTACAATGTCAGCAATTGGTTGATGCATGCAATGTCTGAGCAGCTGAACGCGACCGGTATCTGTTCATTTGGTACTGTCATCCAGTGATAATCATAATTTTGCTGTGTGTGGAATACAATTTATTTTCAGAGCATGTGTGAATTTGATACATTTTGATAGTCATTTTTATAACAATCTTAAACAGGTTTAACACAAATTCAAAACCAATGGCTTTTTCTTTTACTGTATTACAATGAAAACATGACTTTAAACTAAGGTTACAATAACCAAGATTATATCATCACATCAGTCATCAAGTCAAACAACCTTGACACTGTTACTAAAACAATGGGGCAGAAATTAAATGTTGTGGATATTCTTTCTACTTCAGTAAAACAATACAAAGAATAAAGGATAAAACCAAAACCCATATAAAATATATACAATTATTCTATTCTTGTTCAATTCTTAACCGAAAATCTAATGTTCACTATCAACAGCATGTATTCTTCCTACTCTTCACTTTATAAAAGCGACATCTGGGATCTTGCTTTCAATCTGAGGGAGACGGAGAGGAGAAAAACATTTAGTTGGACAAAGTGAAAAACTCAGAATATGTATTTAATCAATATTTTATTTGACAGTTAATTCATGATACTTTACCTTTAATTGTGTGAAGATCTGTGCAGCTTTGTTGAAATCCCACTCATTGTCCTGAAGACACCTGACAGAGAGAACGTCACAGTGAATGTTTCTGCACCAAACATCGACCTTTACAATTTGACCTTTAACATTTACCCTCTGTCAAACACGCACACACAGGGTGTGTTCGAGCAGTAATAATGCTAACACAGACAACAGTAGAGGAAAGTCGATGAGTTAAGTTGGGGGAGGTGCATCTACGACAGCCGACAGTCGGACACTGTTGTGGTTTACCTACAGCACGGCTCTGTGCAACGTGGCAGTGTTGCCATTGTTTATAAAAGTTTATCTTTGTAATGTCGAAATAAACATGTCTCCAACCCTCCAATTTTCAAGCCTTGAGACAATTGAGAAATGGATTGTGTATGTGTGCCATTCAGAGGGTGTATGGGCAAGACAAAATAAAATAAATAAATGTTAATAAAAAAATATTAAAGTGCCTTTGAATGGGGTATGGTAGTAGGTGCCAGGCGCACCAGTTTGAGTGTCAAGAACTACAACGCTGATGGGTTTTTCACACTCAACAGTTTCCCGTATGTATCAAGAAATGGTCCACCACCCAAAGACATCCAGCCAACTTGATACAACTGTGGGAGGCATTGGAGTCAACATGGGCCAGCATCCCTGTGGAACGCTTGACACCTTGTAGAGTCCATGCCAGAATGAATTGAGGCTGTTCTGAGGGCAAAAGGGGGTGCAACTCAATATTAGCAAGGTGTTCCTAATGTTTCGTACACTCGGTGTCTTCATAGGTTGCACCTCAGTCAGTCGGTCGCGTCATGCGATTGTTATGAATGTTCTCAAGCCACCCTCTATCGGCAGCGCCATAGTGGTGCCCTAAAGTGGTGATAAACCCAGTCATTCTGGACGCAGGCTAACTACTGTTTCATCTAAATTACACTATAGTGCCTGGAAATACGATGATATTGTTAAAGTGGTGAAATATTTGGTCGTCAAATTTACTTTAGACAGATGGCAATGTTGTCATTAGCTATCAAAATTAGTCAAAAATTGCTAGCAGTGCTAACATTAGCTAGCTAAAATCCGGTGGCCTCCCCTCAATATTAGCTAGCTAGCTAACGTTATACCACAGATAGAACAATGAGACAGATATTTCACTGGATGTATAAATGTGAAGCATCCGCTTGGCGTTTCCACTCACTATGGTAGTGAGAGGAAGCCCCACTGGCGGGCAGTGGGAGGAGATTGAACGACATTAATTTTGGCCGACATTCTGCAAATGTTCTCATCGATGAAACATTTGATCTCAATACAGTTTTCTGTTCCCAAAACTCAAATCTGTTATGAACAGAGTGTACTAAGGTTTACATACTTTACCCTTTGCAAAAGTTTTAAAAAATTGCGTCGTTTAGAAGGAGTGCAAAGGCCAATTGAGTTATTGCACACGCGCACTTCACAAAGTAGGAGTTCCCTAACGGAAATATGCAGATGATGCTAGAACACGCTAATAGGACCTCGCTAAATCGTGCTTGGATCTGCCCACGTCTTTGCTCGTTCTGCCAAACTAAGGCTCATTTGTTTTCATTGGAAACGAAAGGCTGTCGTCTATCATGGTTTAGTTATAAAAATCTGTGGTTATACTACATCTAAAGTCAATCTGGTGAAATCAAAATGATGATAAAGGTTTTCCTACTAATTATTTGCCTTCTTTTGAATGTCATAGTATTTCCAAGCCACTAATGCACTTTTTATCAAACCTTCATCAGCGCTCATGATGCATTGAGTAGAATGCTCAGTCAGGCATTAGTTCAAAACGAATGTTCAAAACAATAGTGATGAAACATGCACCCATGAATAGGGAGTAGTAAATAACATGGCAGAAATACAAGGTAATTGAAGTAGCTATGTACTGTACATATAGGTAGGGCTCAAGTGACTAGGCAACAGGATAGACAAGACAGTAACAGCAGCATATGTGGTGAGTGTGAAAGTGTGTGTGTGGCGTTAGTATGCATGTGTGTGCATGTTGTGTGGGCGTATGTAGTATGTATGTGTGTGTTGGGGTGTCAGTGTAAGTATGTGTTGAGTGTGTGGGTAGAGTCCAGTGTGTGTGCATAGAGTCAGTGCAAGAGAGTTAGTGCAAAAACAGGTAAATGCAGGTAGTCCGGGTAGCCATCTGATTAGCTATTTAGCTGTTTACAAGTTTTATGGCTTGGGGGTAAAAGCTGCTCAGGGTTGTTTACCGCTTGCTGTGCGGTAGCAGAGAGAACAGTCTGTGGCTTGGGTGGCTGGAGTCTGAATTTTTTTGGGGCCTTCCTCTGACACCGCCTGGTATAGAGGTCCTGGAACGGCAGGGACCTCGGCCCCAGTGATGTAATGGGCCGTAAGCACTACCCACTGTAACCCCCTGTTGATGCCAAGCAGTTGCCATACCAAGCGGTGATGCAACCAGTCAAGATGCTCTCGATGGTGCAGCTGTAGACCTTTTTGAGGATCTGAGGGCCCATGCCAAATCTTTTCAGCATCCTGAGGGGGAAGAGGCATTGTTGTACCCTCTAAAACGACTGTGTTGGTGTGTTTGGACCATGATAGATCCTTAGTGATGTGGACACAGAGGAACTTGAAGCGCTCAACCCACTCCACTACAGCCCTGTCGATGTGAATGGGGGCGTGCTCGGCCCTCCGTTTCCTGTAGTCCACGATCAGCTCCTTTGTCTTACTGGCGTTGAGGGGGAAGTTGTTGTCCTGGCACCACACTGCCAGGTCAATGACCTCCTCCCTATAGGCTGTCTCATCGTCGTCGGTGATCAGGCCTACCACCGCCGTGTCGTTGGAAAACTTAATGATGGTGTTGGAGTCGTGTGTGGGTGAACAGGGAGTAGAGGAGGGGACTAAGCACGCACCCCTGACGGGCCCCCGTGTTGAGGGTCAGCGTGGTGGATGTGTTGATGCCTACACTCGCCACCTGGGGGCGGCCTGTCAGGAAGTCCAGGATCCAGTTGCAGGGGGAGGTGTTCAGTCCCAGGGACCTTAGTTTAGTGATGAGCTTGGAGGGCACTATGGTGTTGAACGCTGAGCTGTAGTCAATGAACAGCATTCTCACGAAGGTGTTTCTTTTGTCCAAGTGGGAAAGGGCAGTGTGGAGTGTAATAGAGATTGCGTCATCTGTGGATCGGTTAGGGCGGTATGCGACTTGGAGTGGGTCCAGGGGGTCTGGGATGATGGTGTTGATGTGAGCCATGACCAGACTTTCAAAGTACTTCATGGCTAGAGACTTGAGTGCTACGGGGCGATAGTAATTTAGACAGGTTACCTTGGCGTTCTTGGGCACAGTGACTATGGTGGTCTACTTGAAACATGAACAGTGCCTTCACAAAGTATTCATACCCCTTGACTTATTCTATATTTTGTTGTGTTACAGCCTGAATACAAAATTGATTAAATATGATGTTTTTCCTCTCACCCATCTACACACACACACACAATACCCCATAATGACAGTGAAAATGTTTTTAGAAATGTTTGCAAATGTATTGAAAATGAAATACAGAAATCTAATTTACATACAGTACCAGTCAAAAGTTTGGACACACCTACTCATTCAAGGGTTTTTCTTTATTTTTACTATTTTCTACATTGTAGAATAATAGTGAAGACATCAAAGCTATGAAAACACATATGGAATCATGTAGTAACCCCCCAAAAAGTGTTAAACAAATCCAAATATATTTTACATTCTTCAAAGTAGCCACCCTTTGCTTTGATGACAGCTTTGCACACTCTTGGCAGTCTCTCAACCAGCTTCACCTGGAATGCTTTTCCAACTGTCTTGAAGGAGTTCCCACATATGCTGAGCACTTATTGGCTGCTTTTCCTTCACTTTGCGGTCCAACTCATCCCAAACCATCTCAATTGGGTTGAGGTCGGGTGATTGTGGAGGCCAGGTCATCTGATGCAGCACTCCACCACTCTCCTTCTTGGTCAAATAGCCCTTACACAGCCTGGCGGTGTGTTGGGTCATTGTCCTGTTGAAAAACAAATGATAGTGGGACTAAGCCCAAACCAGATGGGATGGCGTATTGCTGCAGAATGCTGTGGTAGCAATGCTGGTTAAGTGTGCCTTGAATTCTAAATAAATCACAGACAGTGTCACCAACAAAGCACCCCACACCATCACACCTCCTCCTCCATGCTTCATGGTGGGAACCACACATGCGGAGATCATCCGTTCACTTACTCTGTGTCTCACAAAGACACGGTGGTTGGAACCAAAAATCTCAAATTTGGACTCATCATACCAAAAGGACAGATTTCCACCGGTCTAATGTCCATTGCTCGTGTTTCTTGGCCCAAGCAAGTATTTTCTTATTATTGGTGTCCTTTAGTTGTGGTTTCTTTGCAGCACTTGAAGAAACTTTCAACGTTCTTGAAATTGTCTGTATTGACTGACCTTTATGTCTTAAAGTAATGATGGACTGTAATTTCTCTTTGCTTATTTGAGCTGTTCTTGCCATAATATGGACTTGGTCTTTTATCAAATAGGGCTATCTTCTGTATACCACCCCTACCTTGTCACAACACAACTGATTGGCTCAAACGCATTAAGAAGGAAATAAATTCCACAAATTAACTTTTAAGAAGGCACACCTGTTAATTGAAATGCATTCAAGGTGACTATCTCATGAAGCTGGTTGAGAGAATGCCAAGAGTGTGCAAAGCTGTCATCAAGGCAAAGGGTGGCTACTTTGAAGAATCTGAAATCTCAAATATATTTTGATTTGTTTAACACTTTTTTGGTTACTACATGATTCCATATGTGTTATTTCATAGTTCTGATATCTTCACTATTGTTCTACAATTTAGAAAATAGTACAAATAAAGAAAAACCCTGGTATGAGTAGGTGTGTCCAAACTTTTGACTGATACTGTATATTGAAAATATATATAAAACGCAACATGTAAAGTGTTGGTCCCATGTTTCATGAGCTGAAATAAAATATCCCAGAATTGTTCCATACGCACAAAAAGCAAATTTCTCTTCAATTTAGTGAACATTTCTCATTTTCTAAGATAATCCATCCACCTGACAGGTGTGGCCTATCAAGAAGCTGATTAAACAGCATGATCATTACACAGGTGCACCCTGTGCTGGGGACAATAAAAGGCCACTCTAAAATGTGCAGTTTTGTCACACAACACAATGTCACAGATGTCTCATGTTTTGAGGGATTGTACAATTGGCATGCTGACTGCAGGAATATCCACCAGAGCTGTTGCCAGAGAAATTAATGTTAATATCTCTACCATAAGCCACCTCCAACGTTGTTTTAGAGAATTTGGCAGTATGCCCAATCGGCCTCACAACTGCAGACCACGTGTATGGCATCGTGTGGGCGAGCGGTTTGCTGATGTAAACATTGTGAACAGAGTGCCCCATGGTGGGATTATGGTATGGGCAGGCATAAGCTACGAAGACAATTGCATTTGATCAATGGCAATTTCAATACACAGAGATTCCGTGACGAGATCCTGAGGCCCATTGTCGTGCCATTCATCCGCCGCCATCCCCTCATGTTTCAGCATGATAATGCATGGCCCCATGTCACAAGGATCTGTACACCATTCCTGGAAGCTGAAAATGGCCCAGTTCTTCCATGGCCTGCATACTCACCAGACATATCACCCATTGAGCATGTTTGGGATGCTCTGGATCGACATGTATGATAGCGTGTTCCAGTTCCCACCAATATCCAGCAACTTCACACAGCCATTGAAGAAGAGTGGGACAACATTCCACAGGCCACAATCAACAGCCTGATCAACTCTGTGCGAAGGAGATGTGTCGCGCTGCATGAGGCAAATGGTGGTCACACCAGATACTGACTGGTTTTCTGATCCACGCCCCTACCTTTTTTTTAAAGGTATCTGTGACCAACAGATGCATATCTGTATTCCCAGTCATGTGAAATCCCTAGATTAGGGCATAATGAATTTAATTAAATTGACTGATTTCCTTATATGAACTGTAACTCAGTAAAATCTTAGCAATTGTTGCATGTTGCATTTATATTTTTGTTCAGCTTATTTAGGCTTGCCATAACAAAGGGGTTGAACACTTATTGTGTGTAGGCCAGTGACAAAACATCTCTATTTAATCCATTTTAAATTCAGTCTGTAACACAACAAAATGTGGAAAAAGTCAAGGGGTGCGAATACTTTCTGAAGGCACTGTACGTATAGTCACTGTGGGGACGACGTCGTCGATGCACTTATTAATGAAGCCGGTGACTGATGTAGTAAACTCCTCAATGACATCGGATAAATCCCGGATCATATTCTAGTCTATGCTAGCAAAACAGTCTTGTAGCTTAGCATCCACTTCATCAATCCACTTCAGAATTGAGCGTGTCACTGGTACTTCCTGTATAGGTTTTTGCTTGTAAGCAGGAATCAGGAGGATAGAGTTATGGTCAGATTTGCCAAATGGAGGGCGAGGGAGAGCTTTGTATGAGTCTCTGTGTGTGGAGTAAAGGTGATCTAAATTTAATTTACTCTCCTCCGTAGTTTCATCAGGAGAGCGCCTCAAAATATCACTATTTGTACATATCCACTGTATGAATATGAACTGAATATGATCTGAATTGTGGAAAAGTTGGTTCCTGTTTCCGTTACATCTTGGGTACCGTTCGCGTGGGTCAAAGAAAAACACCCTAATGATTGGTTGACAAATAGTACCTCCCAGTAGCCAGGCGACGGCTGCATGGTGCAACCGGTGAAAAGCAACTGCAGCGACTTGAAGGCGACTTCATAAAAAAACTGCATGACCTTTGATCACATGGTTTTTATAAAGTTCATGCAGTCGACATGTAGACAAAAGTCGGACACATTTTATCCCCATAATGCAACTCACTTTGAAAGGCGGTGACCAATGACTTAGCAAAATGTATCTGCTCGAACACGCCCACAAACTTACTTCTGCGACCACTCAAGGTTCATGCCAGACTTGAGGGAGAAGGCAGAGAGCATCTCCTGCTGGGGGGTGTTGAGGGTGGGCGCTGGACTGCTGGAGGGAGTGGGGGCGGAAGCAGTGAACGCACGCTGGATCTCCTCCGTTGTGGCAATGCGCACAAACAGCTCGTCGTTCACTATGCACAGACTGGAGAAGGGAGAAACGGAGGCAAATGGTTTGAAACGTTCTTTCAATGTATCCCCCCCGATTTCTTTAATTTAGGACCAGTTGGCCTGTTATTTTTTTTGTTTATCTTTTTACTGATGCCAATATTTATTAATATTCGTTGACGATTGTTTTCGTATATCATATAAGATATATCATTTTAGCATTCTTCAGCACACAGACAGTCTTATAAGAGACGTATTTGAGTTTTTAGAACTAAAATCAGGTGAACGAGGGTCCTCATTCGACTTACCCAGAAGTCCCAGCAGGAACTGCGATGAAGACCCGAGAGAAGGCCCTAACCGCTTCTTGAGATTTACCATCGACTTCTTTGAACATTCCGCTGACCGTGAAGGACAGTAATGTGGTCTGAAAAATAGAAAATCCAAGGTTTTAAAAAACAAAAACAAAAAACCCACCCATGAACAGAAGAACTTAGAACTAATAATGATAGTATTGAGAATGCAACATTAACTATAAAATCAGATATTGCCTAACCGTGTGGGTGTTGACGTCTACATTGAAGGAGGCCGTGTCATGCTGAGTTTTAGGCAGCTCGTTGAGCAACGCCACCACGTTCAGCCGTGTGTGCTTCAGCAGTCGGAACCGTGTTGCTGTGGGGAGCAGATTCCAGAGGGAAGCATTTACATTTACATTTTTAGTCATTTAGCAGACGCTCTTATCCAGAGCGACTTACAGTTTAGTGAATACATATTTTTTTTTATACTGGCCCCCCGTGGGAATCAAACCCACAACCCTGGCGTTGCAAACGCCATGCTCTATCAACTGAGCTACATCCCTGCCGGCCATTCCCTCCCCTACCCTGGACGACGCTGGGCCCAATTGTGCGCCGCCCATGAGTCTCCCGGTCACGGCCGGCTGCGACAGAGCCTGGATTCGAACCAGGATCTCTAGTGGCACAGTTAGCACTGCGATGCAGTGCCTTAGACCACTGCGCCACTCAGGAGACATTTAGAAGATGCACACATTATTACAGAAATACAACAGACAAATCTGTCGATGACAGACTTGGGTTATTGACAAATATTTGGAAGACTCACATGGATCTTTGAGTCGCTTTATGTTACGGCTGTCTTTATGGTACTCGCTCAAACTACACCTATGAAGACAGAAAAATATAAAAAAGAAATATGTAATTCGTAACCCCCACGATCCAGACATTCAGATGGAGAAATGTGTATGGCACTGTGTGTGTGTGTGTGTGTGAGAGACCTGTTTGGGTTCTGGCTGGATGGCAAACTAAGTGAGAAGGAGGCACCATCATGGTAGGCTTCTAGAAGAGGCTGTCTGTTCCCAGAGTCATATACACTGTAGTACCTGTCATAGAGAGGTTATAACACTGTAGTACCTGTCAGAGAGGTTATAACACTGTAGTACCCGTCATAGAGAGGTTATAACACTGTAGTACCCGTCAGAGAGGTTATAACACTGTAGTACCCGTCAGAGAGGTTATAACACTGTACTACCCGTCAGAGAGGTTATAACACTGTACTACCCGTCAGAGAGGTTATAACACTGTACTACCCGTCAGAGAGGTTATAACACTATAGTACCCGTCAGAGAGGTTATAACACTGTACTACCCGTCAGAGAGGTTATAACACTGTACTACCCGTCAGAGAGGTTATAACACTGTACTACCCGTCAGAGAGGTTATAACACTATAGTACCCGTCAGAGAGGTTATAACACTATAGTACCCGTCAGAGAGGTTATAACACTGTAGTACCCGTCAGAGAGGTTATAACACTATAGTACCCGTCAGAGAGGTTATAACACTGTAGTACCCATCAGAGGTTATAATGCTGTAATAGCTGTCATAGAGGTCATACACACTGGGTGTTTCTCAATATGCATACTACCGCACTCCACACTCTCATGCTCTGAGTACATTCTCCGACCACGTTCTCTTGAGTGCGTTCTTGTGAGGACGAGTGTGGAGAATGCATAAAACATTACATTTGAGAAGCACTCCCACTCTCCCTACTGTATTATCTCACGCTTCACCTCCCCATTCACTGAACCTTCTTCCTGCCAGAACAATGGCAACAATAGACAAAACAAGATATACACAAAGCAAACGTTTTACTTCAGAATTATCAGCTAGATATGTGAATCGTAATAATCTAGCTAGCCAGCTAGTTACAGGCAAAATGACCTAAAACTAAAGTTATGCAAGGTAGATGTACATGTTTTGTGGGTAGCTACCAATTCTTCGTGGCTAGCTAGCCAGCCAGTTAGCCCTATTGACTTACTATAGACTTACCCATTCACTGAACCGTCTTCCAGCCAGGACAGCAATGGCAATAGAGAAGAAACAAGATATACAGAAAGCAACCGTTTTACTATATAACTATCACCTAGCTATATGTGAATCGTAATAATGTAGCTAACCAGATAGGTCATTTTGCCTGTTAAACTAAAACTAATATTATGCAAGATAGATGTCAATTCTTTGTGGCTATCTGGCTAGCTAACAGTACTAGTAGCTAGCCAGTTAGCCCTATTGACTTATTATGTATGGGCTTGTGATATACGGTACGTAGGCAGGTAAACATGCCAAAATCAACACAGCATGTATTTATTAACGTATCAAGATAAAATATTGTAGTCCGGCAACATATGAGATGTGAATAGGCAACATTTAATTACGATGTCTGAGTGTATTTTCTCTTGCTTCAGCTCAAATAATGGTTGCCATTCATTTCAATAAATTGTGCGTAATTTTTTACATGGTTGCTTCATATTTCTTTGCATACTTTCCGTTGAAGCTTGCATCGATGCATGCTTCAAAATATGTACAAACGGAGTACGCCTTCGAGATGTGCCCCCCGTGCTCAGTTTCGCATACTTTGATTTGGACAGATTTTCTCAGAGCGCGGTAGTATGCATTTTGTTGCTTGTCTTAGACGTGACAAAGATATCCTTTATGAAGGAATATACTTGAATCTTGACAAAAGATATGTGAATACACTTACTGTTGCAGGAAATGCAAGATGAGGACCTTGATTTCTTCTGAACCGAAGTAGCTACCCTAGATTGGTCAAAGAAAAGAGCATCTGTCAACCAAGCGAGCAAGCTGAATCAAGTGCACCTTTTGTTATTCTGTGAACCAAAACGGACCAGACCTTGCAGGGGGGGATGGTGGTGGGTGCTACCACTTCAAACACTATCGGCGGGGGGAGGTCATGACCATCCTACAGAACAACACAACAAAACAACAACAGGAAACAAACAAACAAACAAATCAGATGCAGACAAAGATGGAGAGGATCTGAGAAGAAAAGCGAAAATCTTACCAGTTTGAGCAGCCGGGGAAACCTCTCCCTCATGGCACTGATGTTCACCATGGAGAGGGAACAGGAACAGAGAAGTCACATCCCACACCCACTCAAAAGTAATGGAGTCAACAGGGCCGCGACATCCACTGGACTATGTCAGTGCTCCTATCTATCTATCTACCTACTAACTAACCCCCACACAGCCTAACCCCCAGGCTCAGAGACTGACCTGATGTAGGTGCGCTGGTCCTTGAACTGGTCACACAGTGGGTTACGGTCCAACCACAGCTCAACCAGCTTCAAACCCTTCAACCTATCCAGCTCCTTATCTGACTTCAACTGAGAAGATGGAGAAAGAAAGAAGAGGATTGAGTGGGAAAAGGTTAAGCGAGCAGATTAAGGGGAAAATCCAGACTTCTAATCTCTCATTGACATCAATGCATGACAAAGTAAAAATGTGATGTGGAAGTTAGGATTCGCCCCCAAATGAATAGACAAGGTTAGAGATTAGGGTTAAGGGTCAGTCTCTTCTCTCACCTCATTGTGGGAGAGGTTGAGGGTCTTCAGGTGTGGGGCCTTGCTTATCAGATCTGCCACATCTTCCAGTTTATACAGCTTGTTATTGCTCAGGTTCAGACACACCAGCTGAGATAAGAGAATAGGACAAGAGATCTACACATTTTAGCTCAACAAAATAAAACTGTATGGGTATAGATTGGGTATTATTATAGTATTACCTCAGGGATGTTTTCCTCAATGATCTTGACCACAGCATCCATAAAGGTCTTTCTGCTCAAGATCACCCTGATGTTCTGAGACACCAAGTCTGAAACAGAGGTACATACATTTTAGACCAGGACAGAGGAAGATAGAAAGAGTGGTTAGTTTGAATCTCCAGGTAGTATGGGGTGCTACCTGGGTCAGTACGGATGTTGTTCAGGTCCAGTGCTCGCTGGGAGCCATCAAAGCGCTTGGCCATGCATTGCTGAGGGAGATATTACAGAAGTTACTCATATTCATCCATATTATTTTCATCGCTCACCCCTCCCTCCATCTCTCACCTTTAAGTGCTCCATGTCCTCAGGCTTCAGTTGGGTGTTGAGGATGGAGGGAGGAGGACAGGGGTTCATAAGCACTATCACCTGGAGAAGAGAGGAGCGGTGTGTGGGGGTGGGGTGGGGGGTATAGGAAGCATAAACATGGTTATAAATAAGTAGTAACTTCAAACACTGCCCACAGATGGCAACAATAAATATACTGAACAAAAATATAAAAACACAACATGCAACAATTGCAACGATTTGACTGAGTTACAGTTCATATAAGGAAATCAATCAATATAAATTAATTAATTAGGCCCAAATCTATGGATTTCACATAACTGGGCAGGGGCGGAGCCATGGGTGGGCCTGGGAGGGCATAGGCCTACCCACTTGGGAGCCAGGCCCACCCACTGGGGAGCCAGGGCCCAGCCAATCAGAATTAGTTTTTCCTCACAAAAGGGCTTTATTACAGACATAAATACTCCTCAGCACCCCCTCAGACGATCCCGCAGATGTGGAGGTCCTGGGCTGGTGTGGTTACACGTTCTCTGCGGTTGTGAGGCCGGTTGGACGTACTGCCAAATTCTCTAAAATGACGTTGGAGGCGACTTATGGTAGAGAAATGAACATCCAATTCTCTGGCAACAGCTCTGGTGGACATTCCTGCAGTCAGCATGCCAATTGCACACTCCCTCAAAACTTGAGACATCTGTGGCATGGTGTTGTGTGACAAAACTGCACATTTTAGAGTGGCCTTTTACTGTCCCCAGCACAAGGTGCACCGGTGTAAAGATCAAGCTGTTTAATCAGCTTCTTGATATGCCATACCTGTCAAGTGGATGGATTATACTGGCAAAGGAGAAATTATCACTAACAGGGATGTAAACAAATTTGTGCACAAAATTTAAGAGAAATAAGCTTTTTGTGCATATGGAAAATGTCTGGGATATTTTATTTCAGCTCATGAAACATGTGACCAACACTTTACATGTTGCGTTTATATTTTTGTTCAGTATATATTAACATTCAATCTGCAGCTCTTATCAAATAACATTGAATTGGGAGATCATGGGTTGAGGAATAGAAGGGATAAAGTACACATAAGTCCTCTGTAGCTCAGTTGGTAGAGCATGGTGTTTGCAACGCCAGGGTTGTGGGTTCGATCCCCACGGGGGTCCAGTATGAAAAAAGTATGAAAATGTATGCACTCACTTAACTGTAAGTCGCTCTGGATAAGAGCGTCTGCTAAATGACTAAAATGTAAATGTAATAGCCAGGAGTATAGCCAACGGTTAGTGAGAATGCTGCTTTACCTTGTAGCCCTCAGTGTCTGTGATTTGGCGAGAGACTCTGCACAGTGCGTTGGCTGAACAGGCATCCTCGAGGTAGAACTGGGCTTTATGGCCTTCAATCTGGTACTGAAAGGGATGGGGGGGGTTGAGAGAGAGAGAGAAAGAAACAATACTAATACTTAAATGCACTTGTAAATATCCTCAACATGTACTTCTATATTTCTAGGTTTAATAGACAAACAATAGCCAGACATACACTACCAGTCAAAAGTTTGAACAAGGGTTTTTCTTTATTTGTAAAAAGAAATTATAGAATAATAGTGAAGACATCAAAACTATGAAATAACATATGTTATATTTGAGATTCTTCAAATAGCCACCCTTTGCCTTGATGACAGCTTTACACACTCTTGGCATTCTCTCAACCAGCTTTCAATTAACAGGTGTGCCTTGTTAAAAGTTAATTTGTGGAATTTATTTCCTTCTTAATGCGTTTGAGCCAATCAGTTGTGTTGTGACAAGGTGGGGGGTATACAGAAGATAGCCCTATTTGGGCAAGAACAGCTGAAATAAGCAAAGAGTCCATCATTACTTTAAGACATTAAGGTCAGTCAATACGGAACATTTCAATAACTTTGAAAGTGCAGTCGCAACAACCATCAAGCGCTATGATGAAACTGTCTCTCACCGCCACAGGAATGGAAGACCCAGAGTTACCTCTGCTGCAGAGGATAAGTTAATTAGAGTTACCAGCCTCAGAAATTGCAGCCCAAATAAATGCTTCACAGAGTTCAAGTAACAGACACATCAACATCAACTGTTCAGAGGGGACTGTGTGAATCAGGCCTTCATGGTGAAATTGCTGCAAAGAAACCACTACTAAAGGACACCAATAAGAAGAAGAGACCTGCTTGGGCCAACAAACACGAGCAATGGACATTAGACCGGTGGAAATGTGTCCTTTGGTCTGGAGTCCAAATCTGAGAATTTTGGTTCAAACCGTGTCTTTGTGAGACGCAGTGTATGTGAACGGATGATCTCCGCATGTGTAGTTCCCACCGTAAATCATGGAGGAGGAGGTGTTATGGTGCTTTGCTGGTGACACTGTCTGTGATTTATCTAGAATTCAAGGCACACTTATGGCTACCACAGCATTCTGCAGCGATACGCCATCCCATCTGGTTTGGACTTAGTGGGACTATCATTTGTTTTTCAACAGGACAATGACCCAACACACCTCCAGGCTGTGTAAGGACTATTTGACCAAGAAGGAGAGTGATGGAGTGCTGCATCAGATGACCTGGCCTCCACAATCCCCGACCTCAACCCAATTGAGATGGTTTGGGATGAGTCGGACGGCAGAGTGAAGGAAAAGCAGCCAACAAGTGCTCAGCATATGTGGGAACTCCTTTAAGACTGTTGGAAAAGCATTCCAGGTGAAGCTGGTTGAGAGACTGCCAAGAGTGTGCAAAGCTGTCATCAAGGCAAAGGGTGGCTATTTGAAGAATCTCAAATATAAAATATATTTTGATTTGTTTAACACTTTTTTTAGTTACTACATGATTCCATATGTGTTATTTCATAGTTTTGATGTCTTCACTATTATTCTACAATGTAAAAAAAGAAAGATAGAAAAACCCTTGAATGAGTAGGTGTGTCCAAACTTTTTACTGGTACTGTACATACAGTGGGGGAAAAAAGTATTTAGTCAGCCACCAATTGTGCAAGTTCTCCCACTTAAAAAGATGAGAGAGGCCTGTAATTTTCATCATAGGTACACGTCAACCATGACAGACAAAATGAGAATTTTCTTTCCAGAAAATCACATTGTAGGATTTTTAATGAATTTATTTGCAAATTATGGTGGAAAATAAGTATTTGGTCAATAACAAAAGTTTCTCAATACTTTGTTATACCCTTTGTTGGCAATGACACAGGTCAAACATTTTCTGTAAGTCTTCACAAGGTTTTCACACACTGTTGCTGGTATTTTGGCCCATTCCTCCATGCAGATCTCCTCTAGAGCAGTGATGTTTTGGGGCTGTCGCTGGGCAACACGGACTTTCAACTCCCTCCAAAGATTTTCTATGGGGTTGAGATCTGGAGACTGGCTAGGCCACTCCAGGACCTTGAAATGCTTCTTACAAAGCCACTCCTTTGTTGCCCGGGCGGTGTGTTTGGGATCATTGTCATGCTGAAAGACCCAGCCACGTTTCATCTTCAATGCCCTTGCTGATGGAAGGAGGTTTTCACTCAAAATCTCACGATACATGGCCCCATTCATTCTTTCCTTTACCCGGATCAGTCGTCCTGGTCCCTTTGCAGAAAAACAGCCCCAAAGCATGATGTTTCCACCCCATGCTTCACAGTAGGTATGGTGTTCTTTGGATGCAACTCAGCATTCTTTGTCCTCCAAACACGACGAGTTGAGTTTTTACCAAAAAGTTCTATTTTGGTTTCATCTGACCATATGACATTCTCCCAATCCTCTTCTGGATCATCAAAATGCACTCTAGCAAACTTCAGACGGGCCTGGACATGTACTGGCTTAAGCAGGGGGACACGTCTGGCACTGCAGGATTTGAGTCCCTGGTGGCGTAGTGTGTTACTGATGGTAGGCTTTGTTACTTTGGTCCTAGCTCTCTGCAGGTCATTCACTAGGTCCCCCCGTGTGGTTCTGGGATTTTTGCTCACCGTTCTTGTGATCATTTTGACCCCACGGGGTGAGATCTTGCGTGGAGCCCCAGATCGAGGGAGATTATCAGTGGTCTTGTATGTCTTCCATTTCCTAATAATTGCTCCCCAGTTGATTTCTTCAAACCAAGCTGCTTACCTATTGCAGATTCAGTCTTCCCAGCCTGGTGCAGGTCTACAATTTTGTTTCTGGTGTCCTTTGACAGCTCTTTGGTCTTGGCCATAGTGGAGTTTGGAGTGTGACTGTTTGAGGTTGTGGACAGGTGTCTTTTATACTGATAACAAGTTCAAACAGGTGCCATTAATACAGGTAACGAGTGGAGGACAGAGGAGCCTCTTAAAGAAGAAGTTACAGGTCTGTGAGAGCCAGAAATCTTGCTTGTTTGTAGGTGACCAAATACTTATTTTCCACCATAATTTGCAAATAAATTCATTAAAAATCCTACAATGTGATTTTCTGGAGAAAAAAAATCTCAATTTGTCTGTCATAGTTGACGTGTACCTATGATGAAAATTACAGGCCTCTCTCATCTTTTTAAGTAGGAGAACTTGCACAATTGGTGGCTGACTAAATACTTTTTTTCCCCCACTGTAGGTTTCAAAGCATACATTAGACTCCTCTATCCCAGTGATCAGAAAAACAACATTTAACCCATCAGTCAAGTTCTATGATCCCGGCTGGGCCGTCTGCCAGTAACTTACCTGTACAGGTGTGAAGGGTACGGAGCACAGGTTCTGTAAAGCCGTCAGCAGCCACTTCTTGTCGTATTTCCTCCCATAGGGAATCTGCCAGAGAGAGCAGTTAGTTGGCTATAAAATAGTTTATCAAAATGAAATAGATAATTGTCATATTCTTTGTTAAAGATACTCACAATCATCTTGTACCAACTGCTCTTGTCTCTTCCTCCTCCTCCACCACCTCCTCTTTCTCCTCCTCCTCTGTGGCCCCCAGCTCCTCTTCTGTCTCGGTCAAATTGCCCATCGCCTCTCCGATTCGGCCACCTGTATGGGTTGCTAAGGGGTCAGAGTGCACAGTGTTACCTGACAAAGAATCATCTCACAAATCGTATCTTTATTTATAGACAGTAACAGTCAATCTTATCGCTGCCATGTAACAGTAGTAGTATGCAATCTCACTCACAATCTGCGGTGAGAGCTGCCATCCTGTGGGCTCCCGCTGTTCATAGTTACGTCTACATAGCTATCTTCGAAGCGGACCCGAGGTCCCGGTCCAGGGCCCCTGAACCCACCCATTGGGCCCCCTCGAGACCTCTGCTGCCTGGCCGGGCCGTCGTAGTAGACTGGGCCCCTAAAGGGGCCCCGACCCATACGGCCCCCCCGGAACTGAGGGTCCGCAACTCTGATGTCATGCTCTGGGGGAGGGAGAGGGAGAGGATGGATCATCATAAACAACCTCGTAAGGGCAATCTTCTGGTATGAATATCTGTTTATTCATATATATTATCATGTTGTTATTATTACCGACACATTTGTAGATTATTCATCACATAACTGCATATTTTAAAAAGGTGACTAAAGTGGCTGCACATTTTTGTAATAAATGGCAAAAACACTTCATCAGCATTTAAAACATTGAGCATGCCTCAGTCTGGCCAACTGACTAACATCACCAGTGTTGCAAATGTAGCGAGTTTTCAGATCCCTGCAGATATTTTCATTGGTAAAAAAAAGGCTAGCGATAAATTCAGTTACTTTTCAGGCTGCCTTTGGTGACACCGATGATTTCTATGGTTTGTACAGCATTTTGCAAATTTTCCGACTCAATTTTGCCTCAAATGAGATTGGGAGAAGCTGTCTGTGCAACAGAAGTCACTACAACCGTGCACACACAGGCTGAGAAGCACAAGGGGAGGGGGTGTGTGGCCGGAGAGTGGGCGAAAACGCTGTCGGGGACCGCAGTTGTGCCGCAGCAAGAACAATTGGTGCGGTGATGTCGTCGCGGCAACGGCAAAACGTAATATAGTGACAAATCAAGCCAATCGCGATTCTCACTGAAAAATAATTGTCAACACTGGATGGGGTAGCCAGGGGTGCTAGGGGGGTTGTTTCTGAATCGGGATGTAGCCTAAAAAGCCTGTCACATGTCGGTCACAGAAAATGTAAACGGCTGTCCTGTCCCCATATGCCAATCGCCTCACTTAATTGTTCACACTTCGGCGTTTTACCTCCTGGTAGTTTGCCTTTGCTTGTGACATCTCTCTGCACGACAACTCCCTCCTGATCTAGGTAAAGGAGGAAAACAACTGTTTAGAAGCAGGTTTGAAGCCTTGTCCCAGGGTAACTTACCGCTGTAGAAGCGGCCACCGTCCGCCATACTCCACTGTCAGATACAAAACACAACCCTGGATGACAGTTAAGCAAGCGCTGCGACCGTAGGCTACTTCAGACGAACATAAATCAAAACGAGTGAAAACGAGATATTTAAAAATCCGGAATTATGTTCCAAAACGTGAAGGTAAGGTGGTTATAAATTGTGTCCCACTGCATTGCTCTATGGAAATCTAGTTACTGTTCTGCACTTGAACAGAGACGTAAACACTGCGGTCTAGAACTACATTTCCCGTGCTCACTAGATTCCGGGAAGCGCGTAATTGCATTTGCCAGCGCACGGCAGTGGCACGAGGGTCATGGCTAGAAGGGATCCAGTTCTTGTCAAATTAACTTAAAACGTTTTTGTTTTCTTTACTAACTCTAATCCTAACCCTTCTCATGACCGACTAAATTAATTCTCCTAATCTGCTACGAAAAGTCAAATAAAACGTTACTGGTAATTTGACAACAACTGAATCCCATGACCTGGTACAAGTGGAATCAATTTGAAGGGAGCTGTTTTCAACCTGACAGTTCAGCCAAACGTAATACCCATTCCATTGGTTGACTAGACTATTAAACACAGAAGCTGCCTTAAAAATACTTGCTAGCTAAAGCTAACGTTAGCTAGCTAATTAGCCATACCTTGGTCAAGTCGGACACGTGCGACCACAGCCAGGTTGGGGTACCATTTTCGGAAGGTCATCTTGAGTTTCGCAAAGTTACAGAGTACTGTCACCAAATTATCTGAACAAATATCCTAAATGCAATTTATTTTATAGACATGGGTTGCTGGTTAACTTCACTTGTACAGTTTAAAAGTTCGCTAGCCAGCAAGTTAGAGAAACGTCAACGTTGCTCTGGTGAGGCATCATTTTGCATTGCAAGTAAATTATTTACCACTAATAAACAATGATTGATCAAAACTAAATGCTAGTCAAATTGTTTAGTTTTAGCAAGATAAGTTGTGATGATGAAATGGCGAATACAATATCACATTTTCGATAGGGACAAAATTGATATTGCCCAGTCCCTGATGACTTTAAACAATGCCCCCTTGTGAGTGGTTTGCGCATGCGCCCTACCTGCAGGGTAAGAGGGCTCAGGGACATCCATTGAGCAGTAAAGACAATTCCTGTCAACTTTGCCCACATGTGGCACAGATGTAATGCTGCAAAAATTTGTAATTAAATAAATTTAATGAAAGACCATGTTTTTGTTGGCTGCATCTGTTGATTTTGGGTGCTAGCCTACCTCACCTGTCCTGCCGTGATGGTTCAGGAGATAACCGCCACCACAAAGCCTGGAGTATCTACTGTGGCTATTCAAATTGAATTTCCTCAATGGCACAAGCAAATGAGACGAACCAGACAAATTTGAGTTAGAACACATTGATAACTGTCAATATGATGTCTATAGATGAGGCATTTGTTTTCTGTCTATAGATTAGCCTGGGTTTTCTGCACGTTAACACTAGAAGCTTATTACCTAAAATTGATCAATTGAAAGTGTGGGTTCACAGCTCCAATCCAGATGTGTTGGTCATTACTGAGACGTGGTTAAGGAAGAGTGTTTTAAACACTGATGTTAACCTTTCTGGTTATAACCTTTTTTGTCAAGACAGATCTTCCAAAGTTGGTGGAGTGGCAATCTTTTCCAAGGAACACCTTCAGTGCTCGGTTGTCTCCACCAAGTCTGTCCCCAAACAATTTGATTTGCTTGTTTTAAGCATTACACTTTCAAATAGCTCTTTGTTGACTGTTGCTGGGTGTTATCGTCCTCCGTCAGCACCGGCCTGTACCCTACCTGCCCTAAGCTCTCTCCTGGCCCCTTACACTAAGTCTGAATTTGTCCTGCTAGGTGACCTAAACTGGCACATGCTTAAACCACCTGACCAAGTCCTAAAGCAATGGGACTCCCTAAATCATTCTCAGATTATTACCAATCCCACAAGGTATGACTCCAAACACCCAGAAAAGGCTACTCTTCTTGATGTTATCCTCACAAATAATCCTGATAGGTATCAGTCTGGTGTTTTCTGTAATGACCTTAGTGATCACTGTTTTACAGCCTGTGTTCGTAATGGCTGCTCAGTGAAATGACCTGTCCTGATTTGTCATAGACGCTTGCTAAAAAACTTGAATGAGCAAGCCTCCTTCATGACCTGGCCTCTGTAAATTGGTATAGAATCAGCGTGATCCCCTCTGTCGAAGACGCTTTGACCTTTTTTTATATTTTCAGTGGTATTGTTAACAAACATGCCCCCATAAAAAAAAGATAATTAAAAACAGGTTCAGCTCCTGGTTCGACCGTGATCTGGCAGAGTTACTCCACCTCAAGAATTCAATTTGGTGAAAGCCTCGGCACACGCATACTCAGGCTGACTGGCTCTTGTTCAGGCAAATGAGAAATAAGTGCACTCAGGCTATCCGGAAGGCCAAAGTTAGTTACTTTAAGGAGCAGTTCTCTCTCTGTGGGTCTAACCCCAAGAAGTTCTGGAAAATGGTTAAAGACCTGGAGAATAAACCCTCCTCCTCACAGCTTCCCATGTCCCTTAATGTTGATGATGTGCTTGTTACTGACAAGGAGCTCTTTAATCACCACTTCATTATGTCGGGATTCCTATTTAACTCAGCCATGCCTCATTGCCCGTCCAACATTTCCTCATCTCCCACCCCTTCTAATGCGACTAGCCTCGATACTCCTCCCTCTTTTTCTCCTGCCCACTACAAAGTTTCTCCCTGCAGGCGGTCACTGAGTCTGAGGTGCTAAAGGAGCTCCTTAAACTTGACCCCAAAAAAACATCTGGGTCAGATGGTTTAGATCCTTTCTTCTTTAAGGTTGCAGCCCCTATCATCGCCAAGCCTATCTCTGACCTTTTTAACCTGTCTCTCCTCTCTGGGGAGGTTCCCATTGCTTGGAAGGCAGCCACGGTGCGTCCTTTATTTAAAGGGGGCGATCAAGCTGATCCTAACTGTTATAGGCCAATTTCTATTTTGCCCTGTTTAACAAAAGTGTTGAAAAAACTTGTCAATAATCAACTGACTGGCTTTCTTGATGTCTATAGTATTCTCTCTGGTATGCAATCTGGTTTCCGCTCAGGTTATGGATGTGTCACTGCAACCTTAAAGGTCCTAAATGATGTCACCATTGCCCTTGATTCTAAGCAATGTTGTGCTGCTATTTGTATTGACTTGGCCAAAGCTTTTGATACGGTAGACCATTCCATTCTTGTAGGCTGTATTTGTGTCTCTGAGGGGTCTTTGGCCTGGTTTGCTAACTACCTCTCTCAAAGAGTGCAGTGTATAAAGTCAGAATATCTGCTGTCTCAGCCACTGCCTGTCGCCAAGGGAGTACCCCAAAGCTCGATCCTAGGCCCCACGCTCTTCTCAATTTACATCAACAACATAGCTCAGGCAGTATGAAGCTCTCTCATCCATTTATATGCAGATGATACAGTCTTATACTCAGCTGGCCCCTCCCTGGATTTTGTGTTAAACGCTCTACAACAAAGCTTTCTTGGTGTCCAACAAGCTTTCTCTGCCCTTAACCTTGTTCTGAACACCTCCAAAATAAAGATCATGTGGTTTGGTAAGAAGAATGCCCCTCTCCCCACCAGTGTGATTACTACCTCTGAGGGTTTAGAGCTTGGGAGTATGGCTAAACTTGGGAGTATGGCTAAACGGTACACTGTCCTTCTCTCAGCACATATCAAAGCTGCAGGCTAAGGTTATATCTAGACTTGCTTTCCTCTATCGTAATCGCTCCTCTTTCACCCCAGCTGCCAAACTAACCCTGATTCGGATGACCATCCTACCCATGCTAGATTTACGGAGACGTAATTTATAGATCGTCAGGAAAGGCTGCTCTCGAGCGGCTAGATGTTCTTTACCATTCGGCCATCAGATTTGCCACCAATGCTCCTTATAGGACACATCACTGCACTCTATACTCTGTAAACTGGTCATCTCTGTATACCTGTCGCAAGACCCACTGGTTGATGCTTATTTATAAAATCATCTTAGGCCTCACTCCCCCCTATCTGAGATACCTACTGCAGCCCTCATCCTCCACATGCAACACTTGTTCTGCCAGTCACATTCTGTTAATGGTCCCCAAAACACACACATCCCTGGGTCGCTCCTCTTTTCAGTTCGCTGCAGCTAGCGACTGGAACAAGCTGCAAAAAACACTCAAACTGGACTGTTTTATCTCCATCTCTTCATTGAAAAACTCAATCATGGACACTCTTACTGACAGTTGTGTCTGCTTCGCGTGATGTATTGTTGTCTCTACCTTTTTTGCGTTTGTGCTGTTGTCTGTGCCCAATCATGTTTGTACCATGTTTTGTGCTGCTACCATGTTGTGCTGCTGCCATGTTGTGTTGCTACCATGTTGTGTTGTCATGTGTTGCTGCCATGCTATGTTGTTGTCTTAGGTTTCTATTTATGTAGTGTTGTGGTGTCTCTCTTGTTGTGATGTGTGTTTTGTCCTATATTTTTATTTTAAATCCCAGCCCCTGTCCCCGCAGGAGGCCTTTTGCCTTTTGGTAGGCCGTCATTGTAAGTAAGAATTTGTTCTTAACTGACTTGCCTCGTTAAATAAAGATTAAATAAAATTAAAATAAATACATGTTTGTACAATAGGTTGTTTTTATTGTAAAAAATGAGAAAATGTTGTCCATAAACACCTTGTTCAACTTAACTCACCCTGTATTCTGTATTCTATCCATTAATACTGTCTATTGCAATGCTTCAAATCATCCACAGACATCATCCATGTCAATTAGAGAACACATTCCTGTGAGTATTGTTCTGATGTGGTCTCTCTTGTTCCATCAAAAGTACTTTCATTCTGTGTTGCCTCGTCCTGACCACCCTGGCTTTTAGTCTGTGTGTGTTCCTGTTCCTGTTCCTGTTCCTGTTCCTGTTCCTGTTCCTGTTCCTGCAGATGGACACTGTCCATCTCCTCTCCATGTGTCTCCTCCTGTCTACAGGCTGCCTGGCTGATGGCCTGACCCACGAAAGAGGTGAGGGTGGCCAGCCCGATCAGGTACCCGTCCTCCCGGTTCCCCTCGGCCCATGGGACGTCGTGCTTCAGCTGCACACTGCTGGGCGACGGGATGGTTTTCCCAAAGTCTATCATCCAGATGCTTGCCTTACTGGTCCGGTCGTGGACAAAGAGGAGCGAGCTGCCAATCACCTGTCAGGTGAACCCAAAACATTACTGTATGACTAGTTCTGAGGCTAAATATGTTATTATTAAGTAGAGGGATAGTTGACATGTTTAAGTGGTAAATATGAACTGACCTCGTGGGCTTTGAAAAATGGTGATTCCTTCAGGGCTTCATCCAGAGCCTGAAGTCTGGAATGGTAGGCCTTCTAAGGGTGAGAACCAGAAGGGAGAGTGCAGCGTGAAAAGGAGATATATTTTAGCTATATTATTAGAGGTGTGTGAAACCTGTACGTTGTACATAATATAGGTGATGTTGATGGCGAATTACTGACCAGGATGTGTAGCTGACTCTTGGTGAAGGAGAGGAGTGCCTCAGTGACCTGGGCTGGGGTGAGCATCTTCTTAAAGTCCCGCTGTATGCTGCCATTCTCCATCTAACATGGACACACAGGGACAAACACAGACTAAGGCCTAGATTCAATCAGATCAAGTGTTAACCAGCGATAGCTGACACCCGCATTGCTGATGTTTTGGCAGTGTCGGAGGTGGAACTGCGTTGGAGCTGTCAAATAGGTGAGCAGCTGCTCTTGTGATCATTGTCACAAAGCCTAACCCGCCCACTCGCGTTAGAAGTTAAGAATGAGAAAGTGTAGGCTATATAGAAATAATTACGCTGGGCCTCCCGAGTGGCACAGCGGTCTAAGTGCTAGAGGCGTCACTACAGACCCAGGTTCGATCCCAGGCTGTGTCGCAGCCGGCCGCGACCGGGAGACCTATGAGGCAGCGTACAATTGGCCCAGCATCGTCCGGGTTAGGGGAGGGTTTGTCCGGCCGGGATGTGCTTGTCCCATCGCGCTCTAGTGACTCCTTGTGGTGGGCCGGGCGCATGCACGCTGACTTCAGTCACCAGTTGTACGGTGTTTTCCCCGACACATTGGTGCGGCTGGCTTCCAGGTTAAGACGAGCAGTGTGTCAAGAAGCAGTGCGGCTTGGCAGTGTCGTGTTTCGGAGGACACATGGCTCTCGACCTTCGCCTCTCCCGAGTCCGTACGGGAGTTGCAGCGATGGGACAAGACTGTAACTAACAATTGGATATCACGAAACTGGGGAGAAAAAGGAGTAAAACATTTTTAAAAATACGCTCAAATTGAAAATAATTCAATAAAATAATTAGGATTTCTCACATTCCAGTGTTTGAACTTAAACAAGGCTACAATCTGGCTTTAGAACAGCTCATTCCATTGATACTTGCCTTATTTTGACCACATCAAGCAGGAAAGTGAGAAGGGGAACTATACAAGTATGGTCATGTTAGACTTTCAGAAAACTTTTGACACTGTGGACCATGATATTCTCCTGATGAAACTGAAATGCATGGGTCTAAATGATGTAGCAGTGAATTGGTTTAGGTCTTACCTGACCAACAGAACACAAGTATGTAATGTTGGTGATGTTCTGTCAGAGGCCAAAGAAATATCCTGTGGAGTACCGCAGGGAGCAATTTTAGGGCCTCTCTTATTTCTTATATATGTTAATGATATGCCAGATCCAGTAAAGTGCAAACTCCTGCTTTATGCTGATGACTCAGGGAAGGATACAGTTTACATAGAGGAGACCCTGAGTAAGGAATTGCATTTTGTTAGAGATTGGTTGACTGACAACAAATTGTCGCTACATTTGGGAAAAACTGAATTGATTTTGTTTGGAACAAAACGTAGATTGCTTAGGGCTGACAAGATAAAGGTAAACTGTGCAGGCAAGGAGATTGAATCTAAAACAAATGTAACTTATTTTGGTGTGTTCCTAGATCAATCCCTTTCTGGAGACCTGATTGCTGCTAAAATTATTTCTAAAATGGCAAACAAATAGACATTTTTATATAGTAACACTAGATATTTTAACATCAGAGTTAAAAAACTGCTTGTCTCAACCTTGATTCAGTGTCATTTTGATTAAGCCTGCTCTGCTTGGTATAGTGGGCTATCAAAAAAGCTGAAAAAGAGAATGCAGGTCATGCAACATAATGTTATCAGGTATATGCTGAATGTCCCCCATGGGACCCACATAGGGGTACAGGAGTTCTTGTTACCTTTGTATTCCAGGGTGGACCAACTTAAACTTAATCATATGTTTGACACCAGGTTATATGAAAAACCACATTGATATGGTCTATAACTAACACAGTTACAATACCAGAGCTAGTGTTATGTCTTGTGAAATCCCAAGAGGAAACAGTATTGCGAGGAGCACGTTTTTCTATACAGGCATTTGTCTATGGAATAGCCTCCCCTTGGAGATCAAGCAAAGAAAAAGTTGAAATTGCTTTAAAAAGCAGGCAACGGTTTTCATTTGGACAAGGTTGTCTAAGTAAGAGAAACTACTCCACTGCCCCTTGTGCCCCCTACTGCTGGTCAGGTGTATTTATTTGAATGATAGGTATGATGTGCAATGAATAGACCCCTCTGTAGCTCAGCTGGTAGAGCACGGCGCTTGTAACGCCAAGGTAGTGGGTTCGATCCCCGGGACCACCCATACACAAAAATGTATGCACGCATGACTGTAAGTCGCTTTGGATAAAAGCGTCTGCTAAATGGCATATTATTATTTTTATTATATTGTTTTTTAAGGTCGAAATGTGAAATTAATATGGTTGATTTTTAAGGTTAGGGAAAAGTGCAGTGAATAGTGCCACTTTTAGGATGTCAATATAAATGAATGTATTTATGGGCCCTGTGTAGCTCAGTTGGTAGAGCATGGCGCTTGAAACGCCAGGGTTGTGGGTTCGTTTCCCATGGGGGGCCAGTATGAAAAAAATATATATATGTATACGCCTCCCGAGTGGCGCAGTGGTCTAAGGCATTGCATCGCAGTGCTAGCTGTGCCACTAGAGATCCTGGTTCGAATCCAGGCTCTGTCATAGCTGGCCGTGACTGGGAGACCCATGGGGCGGCGCACAATTGGCCCAGCGTCGTCCAGGGTAGGGGAGGGAATGGCCGGCAGGAATGTAGCTCAGTTGGTAGAGCATGGCGTTTGCAACGCCAGGGTTGTGGGTTCGTTTCCCACGGGGGGCCAGTATGAAAAATAAAACAAATAATGTATGCACTCACTAACTGTAAGTCGCTCTGGATAAGAGCGTCTGCTAAATGACTAAAATGTAAATGTAAAATGCAGTTCCACCTCCGACATTATACAACTATTCAGATGTCGTCTAAAGCGGATCTGATTGAATCAGGCCCTAAAACCCTGGGACTATTGTAGACCACCAACAGTCTACATAACCTCAGCACACTTAACCCCAATATACATAACCCCAGTATACATAACCCAGTGAAGTTAGTAGACCCCCCCGAGAGACAGAGAGGTCGAGAACAGTCAGGACTTTTAAAATATAAATGTTGAAGTCAATAAATAAAGACTTTGGCACAAAATAAGACTTATTATCTTGATCTTCATTCTGATGTTTATTTCCCTCTGTTATCATTTAGCCAATCAGAGGACAGCAGAGGTTTGGGCGTTGAAGCCGTGTCTCTCACCATAATGCACTCGATCCTGAAGCCTAGCGTGGCGGTGGAGCTGGTGTTATCCCTCCACTGCAGGTAGCGCCACTTTGTCACGCCTCGCTGCTCGTGTTCCTCCACCGTGGGGGCCGTCGGATCTACTTTTACCATCTTCTGGTACATATCAGTCCGCAGGGTGGGCTTAGTGTGTGCTTTGGTTAACTCCTCCTCCTGGTATGTCCTGAGAGCAACAGTAGCTTAATTACAGACACACACACACACACACACACACACACCAGCGGTGGCTGTTGGCACTTTTAATAGGGAGAACGGGCTCATAGTAATGGCTTGAACAGAATGAATCGAATGCCTGGTGTCAAATACATCAAACACCTGGTTTTCCATGTTTGATTCCATTCCATTCATTCCTTTCCATCCATTATTATGAGCCGTCCTCCCCTCACCAGCCTCCTCTGACACACGCACACACACACACACACACACACACACACACACACACACACACTCACACACACACACACACACACACACACACACAAACACAAACACAAACACACACACACACACACAGTACCTCACGCCCATCTTGCAGTCCATGATGACAGGGTTCTTCAGGCCCCTCAGTAAGTCCTCCAGGCGGATGTAACTCTCGTTCCCCTTGGTGACCGAGCCATGATACTGCGGTACAAATGGACGCAGGGGGTCGGCCATGAGGGCCTGAAGACACACAGCCTCCACCTCACTGAAACGCTTCAGCACCTCGCCCCCTTCACTCAGCTTGAAGTTACCTAGCAACACAGAGGCAGGGGAGAGGGGAGGGTAGGTGTAGTCAATATTTAACTGTAACTTCTACAATCACTAAGTAACCAATTTATCTGCAGTTGCCTCAATGCTCACATTGTAACAGAATGAGTGAATGATTTGGAGAGCTGATGATGTGGGAGTAAATGGTGAGATGTTATACAGTACATATAAAGTGATATAGCGATGTGTTTGTGTTGTTGAATGGACACGTGCCTTGATGTCCTGCTAGCTGGACCCATGAGCTCTGCCGACGCACTGACCACTGCATCAAGGTCAGGAAGGTCCTCCAGGAGCGACACTGGAGTAAATAGAATTTTCATTGTCATGTGCGCTTAAAATAGTATACTTTCTATTTCAATTGTCTTTCTCTTTAGCTTCATAATGGGCAATGTGGAATACTGTAGGCCTACACTAAGGGGAGTGGGAAAGGACTGGAGGTGAAACACCCCTCAGCCTCTCCCCCCTCCCCTATCTCCATCAATAGGACCCATGCAAATCCTATTCAAATTTGCCCGTGTCAAGGCTCAAGGCTCGCTTTCAAACTCATGCAAATCGCAGACAGCGGTTAGACAGAGAGGGGTTGAGAAGGGGATGGAAATTACAGACATTATTTCATGGAGAATAAAGGCATCCACGGAAACAGATATTTACAGTGTGGGCCTACAGTGGATATGAAACCAGTGACATATTGTTGTTATCTCCAAAAGTATGCTGTATCTAGTAGGCCTATACTTGCTCTTTTCACGTTCAGTTCTCAATCTCACCCTCCTCATGGTGCTCCTCTTGCTGGCAGTGTCCTCTCCTTCGCTGAAGACCTCATCGCTCTCCGCTGAGGAGCAGTTGAAGGAGGAAGAGGAGGATGAGACAGAGGAGTGCATGAGCATCCTGGAGAGGATGGAATGGGAGGAAGGAGACCAGCAGGTTTCACTACAGCTCCCCTCAGAGCTCAGGCTGCTGGCACCTTCCTTCTCGCCATCCTTCCCTCTATCCCTGACACTCTCTCCTTCCATCTTTCTGTCCCCTGCACTTTCTCCTTCCATCTCTCTATCCCCTATCCTCTCTGTCTCTTTATCACCTGTCTGCTCTGCACTCTTCCTCTCCTCGCTCCTCTCATTCAGCACACATCCATCTTGCATCCCCTCTTCCGCTTCCATCTTTCTCATCCTCCACTCTCTCCATCGCTCTCTTTTCTCCATCTTTTCCCATCCCTCTGTCTTTGCTGCTGGCATGCTCCCTCCCAACCTCTCCCTCTTCCTCAGTCTCCATCTCTCCTTCACGCTCCTTCTGCTCATCCTTGAATCCTTTACTCTTTCACTCTCTGACCCCTCCTGTTCTTTTCCCCTCTCCTCTCCCCTCTCCCGCACTACACTGTCACATCTTTGAATATCAACCAAAAGGCCTTGAGTCGCATGCAGTTCAGAGCCTGGTTCTGTGTCTTCCAGATGCCTGGGTCTCTCTTCTGGTCCTCTTTCATGGTCTTGTAGTTCCAGACTGTTAGAGGGTGAGTCCGGGGTAGAGAGAAGTTTGGTTTGGGGTTTCACCGTACCAAACACACTGGGTGTCCTGACACCAATGGACGGATGTTGGTCGACATCATTCAAGAGTCCAACAAATCCATCATCATTGTCATCATCCTGTTCTTCATTCCCCATCTCCTTTTCTTTCTCTACATCCTTCATTTCATCCAGAGCTGGGGGTGTTGTGTTGTCCATCATTCCCAGCTGAAAGGGTGATATTCCAGGGGATGTAGTCCTGATAACTCCACTCCAATGTTAGTAGGCCTAGTGTGAAAAGATGAGTCTCTTGAGTAGAGATTATATGTTCTAATGTTTTATATATATACAGCACAAAACACACAAGCAAATTAAAGGTATTTGAATATATGGTTAGGAATAAAATAGTAATGAAAAAAAGTGTAAATTCATTCACTAACAAGAGTACATGAATAAGCTATAGCTACAACACATTTTAAAAACAGGTAAAGGACAGAAAATGAAATTACAATGTCTATTTAAGTGTTGCAATAAGGATGCTGAAATACTGATAATAAAAGTTGCTTGCAGTAGCCTACCTTGTGCATCCAAAAGCATTCCCTTGATAAATCTATGTAACACTTTATGGACCCTAGGGGTTCATTAAGTCCGTAGAAATTACACCTGTACAGTCGGTAGACTGTAGTAAGATCGGACAGGCTCTAGCTCTGTCTCCCTGCGTTATCCCTGATGTGGCAGTATTTTGCATGCTGTGACGCAACAAAGTTTCCAAACATTGTGGTGAGTGAGTGAGCGTGACTGGCAGCATGTCATTGAACTGCAGGTTGACAGGAGTCTGTCTTGTTTGTGTGTTATCTAGGAAATACATCTGCATCAACATCATCTGAATAGGCCATAAGGTACTCTGTCAGAGGAGGCTGGTGGGTGGAACTATAGGAGGACGGGCTCATTGTAATGGCTGGAATGGAATAATTGGAACGGTATCAAACATATGGAAACCCTATTTTTGACTCCGTTCCATTAATTACATTCCAGCCATTACAATGAGCCCGTCCTCCTATAGCTCCTCCCACTAGCCTCCTCTGTACTCGGTCTAGTATCCAAATAGAGCCCCACAGTGGAGGTGTCATAATACCCATAAAACCTAGCGGTCAACCAGGGAAATGGTTCCAATCATTTTTACACCATTCATTTTTCCCATAGGGGATTTTAGAAACACTTAAAATAAGGTCTGTGTTTTGTGTAGGCTTACCCTGGCGTGACGTTTTGATAACCATGTAAATCTCTCTCGGACAAGGTGACTTTCATCAATATATTCGGCCCTATTTACTCTCATATTCGAAAATGCTAATTGGCATCAAAGTACCATTGATATGTTTACATTAAATTGACTTAATTGTTGCAGATAAAAGGCTGTGCGTGATGACGTAGTGCACACAAAAATACCTTATGCGGTTAAATAAAAAATACAAGTGAAATGGATTTCCATCACATTTTCAACTCTACTGATGGTTTTCTCACAACAAATGTTGCGTTATATAAGCTATCATGTCACCAGATAAGACCCTCGATATTTATTGGAAAGCAGCATCAAGCTCATTTACTTGCACTTTCACCACCCTGTGAAGGTCATCATCATTTATTTCATTTGTAGCCTATAGTAAACTTCATGCTTTCCCCGACGAGTCGTAGTGGGAGAACCACACAACATGTCATCGTGTGACTCCAAGTTTACTTCGATATGATGGTTATTTAAGCAATAAGGCCCGAGGTGGTGTGGTATATGGCCAATACACCAAGGGCTGTTCTTAGTACAACGCAACACGGAGTGCCTGGATACAGCCCTTAGCCGTGGTATATTGGCCATATACCACAAATAAGGTGCCTTATTGCTATTAGTCTCTCAAATCAAATCAAATTATATTGGTCACATACACATATTTAGCAGATGTTATTGCCGGTGGGGCGAAATGCTTGTGTTCCTAGCTCCAACAGTAAAGTAGTATCTAACAATTCACAACAATACACACAAATCTAAAAGTAAAAGAATGGAATTAAGAAATATATAAATATTAGGACGAGCAATGTCGGAGTGGCATTGACTAAAATACAGTAGAATAGAATACAGTATATACATATGAGATAAGTAAAGCAGTATGTAAACATTATTAAAGTGGCCAGTGATTCCATGTCTATGTATATAGGGCAGCAGCCTCTAAGGTGCAGGGTTGAGTAACCGGGTGGTAGCCGGCTAGTGATGGCTATTTAACAGTCTGATGGCCTTGAGATAGAAGCAGTTTTTCAGTCTCTCGGTCCCAGCTTTGATGCACCTGTACTGACCTCGCCTTCTGGATGATAGCGGGGTGAACAGGCCGTGGCTCGGGTGGTTGATATCCTTGATTTTTTTTTGGGCCTTCCTGTGACATCGAGTGCTGTAGTTGTCCTGGAGGGCAGGCAGTGTGCCCCCGGTGATGGCCGCACCACCCTCTGGAGAGCCCTGTGGTTGCGGGCGGTGCAGTTGCTGTACTAGGCGGTGATACAGCCCGACAGGATGCTCTCAATTGTGCATCTGTAAAAGTCTGTGAGGGTCTTAGGGGCTAAGCTGAATTTCTTCAGCCTCCTGAGGTTGAAGAGGCGCTTTTGTGCCTTCTTCACCACACTGTCTGTGTGGGTGGACCATTTCAGATTGTCAGTGATGTGTACGCCGAGTAACTTGAAACTTTTCACCTTCTCCACTGCGGTCCCGTCGATGTGGATAGGAGCGTGCTCCCTCTGCTGTTTCCTGAAGTCCACGATCAGCTCCTTCGTTTTGTTGACGTTGAGGGAGAGGATATTTTCCTGGCACCACTCCGCCAGGGCCCTCACCTCCTCCCTGTAGGCCTACTACTGTTGTGTCGTCTGCAAACTTGATGATTGAGTTGGAGGCGTGCGTGGCCACGCAGTTATGGGTGAACAGGGAGTACAGGAGGGGGCTGAGCACGCACCCTTGTGGGGCCCCTGTGTTGAGGATCAGCGAAGTGGAGGTGTTGTTTCCTACCTTCACCACCTGGGGGCGGCCCGTCAGGAAGTCCAGGACCCAGTTGCACTGGGCGGGGTTCAGACCCAGGGCCCGAGCTTAATGATGAGCTTGGAGGGTACTATGGTGTTGAAGGCTGAGCTATAGTCAATGAACAGCATTCTTACATAGGTATTCCTCTTGTCCAGATGGGATAGGGCAGTGTGCAGTGCGATGGCGATTGCATCGTCTGTGGATCTATTGGGGCGGTAAGCAAATTTAAGTGGGTCTAGGGTGGCAGGTAAGGTAGAGGTGCTATGATCCTTAACTAGCCTCTCAAAGCACTTCATGATGACAGAAGTGAGTGCTATGGGGCGATAGTCATTTAGTTCAGTTACCTTTGCTTTCTTGGGTACAGGAACAATGGTGGACATCTTGAAGCAAGTTTAGCTTGTCCGGGATCAAGACGTTGGTGTCCGCGACGTGGCTGGTTTTCCCTTTGTAATCTGTGATTGTCTGTAGACCCTGCCACATTCGTCTCGTGTCTGAGCCGTTGAATTGCAAATCCACTTTGTCTCTGGACTGACGTTTTGTCTGTTTGATTGCCTTATGTAGGGACTAAATACACTGTTTGCATTCAACCATATTCCCGGTCACCTTGCCACGGTTAAATGCGGTGGTTTGCTTTTTCGCGAATGCTGCCATCTATCCACGGTTTCTGTTTTGGGTAGGTTTTAATAGTCACAGTGGGAACAACATCCCCTATACACTTCCTTGTCAGAATGCTGAATGTGGATGTGGTGCAGGAATCAGGCGCAGGACACAGAAGCTTCGTCCAACAGACTTTAGTTGACGACAACGAAATACAAACGGCCTCAAAAGAGCCCGGAGGCGAGCGATTACGCACACCGTGCGTTAACACCAAAATACAAGAAGCGCGAAAACTCTCCAAACAATGGAGCAAAACAATCACAGCACCTGCTGACAGGCGGAACAATTACACACAACACACGACTAACAAAACGAGGACTTATAGGACACATAATTAACACTAAACGGAAACAGGTGTACAAATAAGACAAAACCAAACAAACATCGAAAACATACAACGGTGGCAGCTAGTACTCCGGGGACGACGACCGCCGAAGCCTGCCCGAGCAAGGAGGAGGAGCAGCCTCGGCCGAAACCGTGACAGTACCCCCCCCTTGACGCGTGGCTCCAGCCGTGCGCCGACCCCGGCCTCGGGGACGACCAGGAGGACGCGGAGCAGGGCGCGTGGAATGACCACGGTGGAACTCAGTCAGGAGAGACGGGTCTAAGATGTCCCTCCTCGGCACCCAGCACCGTTCCTCCGGGCCGTACCCCTCCCACTCCACGAGATATTGGAGACCCCCCATCCGACGTCTCGAATCCAAGATGGACCGAACTGTGTACGCCGGAGCCCCCTCGATGTCCAGTGGGGGCGGAGGAGTCTCTCCTATCTCACAGTCCTGGAGTGGACCAGCTACCACCAGCCTGAGAAGAGACACATGGAACGAGGGGTTAACGTGATAATCAATAGGCAGTTGTAACCTGTAACACACCTCGTTCAACCTCCTCAGGACTTTAAAAGGCCCCACAAACCGCCGACCCAGCTTCCGGCAGGGCAGGCGGAGGGGTAGGTTTCTGGTCGAGAGCCAGACTCGATCTCCAGGTGCGTACACCGGCCCCTCACTGCGGTGGAGATCGGCACTCGCCTTTTGTCGACGGATGGCCCGCTGCTGATGGACGTGTGCAGCGTTCCACGTCTCCTCCGAGTGCCGCACCCACTCATCCACCGCAGGGGCCTCGATCTGGCTCTGATGCCATGGTGCCAGAACCGGCTGGTACCCTAACACACATTGGAAAGGGGTTAGGTTGGTGGAGGAGTGGCGGAGAGAGTTCTGTGCCATCTCTGCCCAGGGAATATACCTCGTCCACTCCTCCGGCCGGCCCTGGCAGTACGATCTCAGAAACCTACCCACATCCTGGTTCACTCGTTCTACCTGCCCATTGCTCTCCGGGTGGTACCCCGAGGTAAGGCTCACGAGACCCCCAAGCGCTCCATGAACGCTCTCCAGACTCGGGAGGTGAACTGGGGACCTCGATCAGACACTATATCCTCGGGTACCCCGTAATGCCGGAAGACATGGGTGAATAGTGCCTCAGCGGTCTGTAGGGCAGTAGGAAGACCCGGCATTGGGAG